CCCCACTCTCCTCAACAGACGGTCAGTCAACCCACATACTTCATGGAAACTGTGTGATGTCCCTTGTACTCGTATTTCATCTTTGCTGACTACCATCAGAGAAATAGGAAAACTTGACACTCCGAGATAGTCTCGATGGAGCGTCTACTATAAGAATATGAGGCAAACTAAAACGAAGGTATATATTATTATCTGGATTTTCTACTTTGGGAGGTCCTGGTGATTGGTTACTTGCGACATGGCCGCAGTCTGAAGGGCCAGTACCCTTTTCACGGATATTTTCATGCATAAAATCTACGGAGTATGAGGCCCCCGATGCTTCACCAAGAGTTTCAATTTTCCACCCTGTTTCTGTGACCTGATATTAGTTGCTCCAGGCTATTACCATATATATGAATGTATGAACATGTGTTTCATCTGGCCCCAATACCTGACTTTTTATCAAATACTAAATAATATCTAGGAAACTCTTGCTTGTGATAATATCTTCAACAGATTTTAACCATTTTAACGCCCACATTTTACTTCTACCATATACTGACATTGACCTACAGTACTTCATCAAGTTGAAGATTATGTTGAATCAATCCAGGAAAAGTTTGTGGGGAATTATTCCAGGAAAAACAGATCAATAAAGTGGTTATAGTCACTGTGAATCATAAAATGGTATATTGTGTTCAGCTATTTTGTACATGTACAAAGTTAACAAACAGTTTCACTTGGATAATGCTGGATGATCTTGTTTGATGTTTTTTTAAAACATATTTCAATTTGAAAAAAAACAAGCACAACACAAGTTTACATAATCTTTCCCCTTAAAACATTAATAATGTTATGTACATTACTGTAGATTTAATATAACTGGTTGATTCAATGGGCAGGATGAACAATATGCATATTCGTTGCTGATAAAGTCGGACAAACCCATCATGGGCAGCTGGTGACCCCATACCTTTTCACGTGCGATCCAGGAATTGAACCACGGCCATCTATGATCTTGGTGAAAGGCGAGGGTGTAATCCACTGTGCCACCTGACCACTATATATATGTAGTTTTGTATTTTATCTGTGACCCTTCAAGTACCGTAATAGTGTCAATGAACACTTTGTCATGGGAGAATTTATCTTGGATACTTGCCAAAGCATGCATTTTATGTACTTTTACCTATAGATACTAAAATATATATACAAACATAAACATGTACCTAGATAAAATTAACTTTGAAATATTTCATTCAGGTAATATAAACTATTTCAAATCTAATTCAAATTAAATAAATACATGCAGGTTATGGCAAGAAAAATATCAGTTATTGGCATCAAATTTTGGGATGGAAATTTTGTACTCATGACAGGCTGACAGCACTAGTAAGTTGATATATATGAAATCAATTTTCAGGTCTAATCAATATCTCAATTATGCTAAAAAAAAATCATGGTATGATCAGTTATAATATTAATTACAATGTACAGTCAGATTCAAAGCATGCCAGCTAAGTATATAGGATCTATCAAAAAGAAAAGAACATTTTTATACCCAATTTACTTTGCAACTATATCCCTCAAACTTTTTTTTAGACTTTGCTTTAGGATAGCCATTACTGTTTTACTGACATTGCTTAGAAGTGTAGTATATGAGAACTGCTTGGTTGAATGTGCATTCTTGACATATTTTTACAAAAACATTAAATTAATCATTATGAAGAAGCTTGTAGACCTGTAGTGGTGCAGTCAGCTGGTGTACACAGGAGTTTTTAATCCCATTGGGGATTTCAAGCTATCATAACTGTAACTGTTGTCTGCTGCCTTGTGGGACCCGTGGGCTGTTGAAATTGTCAGCCATCAATTATATCTGTGCTTTTGTCAGTGTCAGCTGCTAGTTAAGGATTTTGGAATCCATGGTAGATGTCAGCCATTATACATATCTACAGAATTAACAGCAAGCTATATTAGTTGTGTCATGTGTTGTTGCCTGCTGGCTTACAATGCAGGGATAATCCTGGAGGGGGCCATTGACCCCTCAAAACTGAAATTGACCCCTCCATGTTCCATTTTTCTTTTAATTTTACATAGAATGGCCCTTCTTAGTTTTGACATTGACTAAAACTTGCTGCAATGGCCCACTGCTTTCAAATTCCAGCATTTTCCCCGCAATGTATTGCATGCAGGAGTTTTGGATCCCATGGGGTTTCGTCTGCAGTCATACATTTCTACAGATCTAGACAACTTGTTAACTACAAATCTGTGCCAATTGGAAACAAGTCATGAAAGCATATAAATCTAAACAAAATATTGATTATAATACGTAAGATAGAGTTCCTAGTCCAATATTAATTCCCCATGTATGCCACAGGCCAGACAAACTACAGGGTGTATAATGCTGGCTGTAATCAAATGCCTCAACCTCTGTAACTACTGTTTATTGATCTTCTCCAGCTCCTAGTCGGGTAATAACTGTTGGCTAAATGTCAGTCGTAAATAATGCTCCTCAAATAGTTGTTGAGTGCTATGTTACTTAGTCCAACAAACCACTGTGTTGGGTTAGGTTTCAGTGTTAGAACGGTAGACCCCTAGACAATAACCATGAAAAACACTAACATATTGGTAGGGCTGTGGAAATGATTTAATGTGTTGTGTTTGATTCATTGATAATGTTATCGTTGTAATGAAGGAAAAATGTTCTGTATAAATTTGTTTCCCCTTCATGATTATTTTTATACATTGTATATTAATTTCATGATATAAAACACTATTTATAATTAAATTTGTTCTATGACCGTTTCAGTAGGTCTATAGCTATAAGAAATCTATATCACATAGTCCTATTCTCAGTGTTTTTGTTACTTAAATTTTACAATAGCCTGTTCCTTTAGGTGTTAAAATTGGGAATACATTCCTCAGTTTTTCGTCATTTTGGGAAGATAAGGTACTATTTAGCTAGGAGAAACAGCCTGTGTTTGGCAGTATAACAGATCAAGCTAAAGAAATCACTGATTTTCTATGGAGTGTAAATTAAATTCTAAATTCCAAGAGTGAGGTTTGCATACATGTGTGTACCCTATACCTTACTGCATTGTCTCGTATTTCCAATTTGTTTAAATTTGAATCAATCTTTTGGTTTACTCATACAATGTAAATTCTTCCCTTTTCCACAGAAATTAACATATTTCATTAATTAGGAATCAATATATATAGTGTGTCTTTCGAATGTGCCATTCAACAATAAATAAATTATATAATTAATTCAGTTGAACTTTTTCTAAACCTAGATCTGTAAAAAAAATCTTTTTTTGATAACACTATCCCTGTCAACATTTTGGAGTTTGTGGTTCATTTTCAATATTCATTTCTTTCAATCAAATACATGAAACAACCAAATATTTCTTATAAAAGAAGATATATTTGATTAACAATAATTACACACTATATCAGTAGACAAAGATTCATTAAAGCAAACTGTGATATATAGTTGGCTCAAGTGTGTTAATAACTGATCTGTCATAATCACTACAGATAATAGGTATCTAATAAGCATATATATATACATTAGTGTGCCAAAATTAATATAAAAAATACAAGAGTAGACTTCAGTTTGATATAAAACAGTGCACATGTTATCATGACAGGTTCACTTAGAGCTACTATTACAGTGTAGAAAATGTGTATTCATACAGAAAACTATGTAACATGGCCATGGTTCACCTATAGCTATCAAACTCCACCTGTAGAAAACACCCACCTATAGCTATCAACCTCCACCTGTAGAAAACACCCACCTATAGCTATCAAACTCCACCTGTAGAAAACACCCACCTATATAGTTTGTCATTACTTATAATTATATATAATTAGTTATAATAGATACTGTAGTAGGAGTGAGCTCGATGACGATGGGTACATAGGAATATAATGTGTATTCATACAGAAAATTCTGTACATTGTATGTATTATGTTCACCTAGGCCTATAACTATCAAACTCAGATTCCACCTGTAGAAAACACCCACTATATAGTTTGTCATTACTTAGTTATTAGGAATACTTGTAGTAGGAGTGAGCTCGATGACGATGGGTACATACATGTAGGAATATAATGTGTACATCATGGTCCTTATCTTCAGACAACACAGTAATAACAAGAAATTGGCCATTGGTATATATATATATTTAGTACACATATTTTTAGCACAATTAATTCGTAACACCTACAAGGTGCAGGGATGATTCATGTCTAACTTCAGCACTAGACCAAGTCAATAACCGCTACCTGAACCTACTCGGTATAAATAGACAATAGCTTTAAACGTTTCATTTTGTACTTATTGTTCTAGATCTTCATATCTAATTATCAGGTACCTATGTCTGGCATTACCTGTTTGCGATATTTAGGGAAAGTTTGCATATTTCACATGATGTTTGATCATCTTTATATTACCACAGTATATTGAAAGTTTATAAGTCTATTTGATCAGATATAAATACAAATGTACGTGGAATTATTTCCTCTTAACTGCTACTTTATGTACTGTTACAATTTAAGTTTTTTTTTTTTTTACCTAACACTAATTTTGATTACAAAGAATCACTAAATTGTCTGGCTCAGAAAAATTGAAGTGATTTTTTTAGAGATAATGGAATAATTCTCCAGGGGAAAATAAATGGTTTAACCCAAGCTTTCACCCCTACGTAACTTTAGTAAACTCTTCCACGCATTGATCTGGATGAGTCCATTATGATCTACAGTGGTGATAGGGTTATAAGATTGATGTTAATGGTTCCCACCTGACCATACAGTGTGGTTGGCTTGCCTATTGTCAGCCAATTAAATTCTATCATATTTATGCATAAGACTAAGATAGATCATGTCATAGCACATTGCTAAATGTTCTGTTTCAGGTATTTCACCATGAAGTTTGCTGCTTTGGCCCTCCTGGCCACCCTACCCTTCGTACTGTCAGTGTCGCCCAACCCACAAGTACCCGCCACCCCCGGTGCCCTGAGTAAGTATAACGCTATATGTATATATTCCCTGAAATTCAGATGGACGTGATCATAACACATATTTCAAACCCAGGAGTCAAACCTGATTTGCAAATTCAGTAATAATTATGCACGTTTATATGTATATTTATTGTCATGTTTGGATGAAAACCTTTCAGCTTGAATATCCGTCATCATTGTATGATATTTGACATGAGGAAAAAGTGGGTTATGTAAAACTATACTTAGCTTACTGTCTTGGTTGTAACATAATAGCCAGGCTATTTATATACATGTTTGACTCCTGGGTTTGAAAAAGGACATGTGTTATGATCACGACCATCTGAATTTCAGGGAAAATGCTATTTGACTTCCGATAAATGCTGTTTCAATTTGCCAGGAGTCAGAGTCCTGGTATATATAGAACTATATGTTGTACATGTACAAGTTTAGGGTAGCTGTAAATATTTAGTAATGCAATACTTAAAGTAGCGCTCAACTCTGTGACTGCTGCAGTGGCATATAGCAAATCATTTTTCCAAGTGAATGCTTTCTTAGATGGAAAAAAATCTACTTAGCCCTAGAAGCAATCTTCCGTGTTCGTGGAACTCCTTTAAGTCTGATTATTAACAAGTAATATACAGTTAAAGTATGGGGTTGAGGGATATAGCAAGTTTCTGGTGTCCCGAGACCAGGTCTATTTCCCGAGACAAAGCTGAGGGAAATAGGCATGGTCAAGGGACACCAGAAACTTGCTATATGTCTCAACCCCATGCTTCAACCGTTTTATTATACCGATACACACTGGAGAGATAGTTTTAATTAGAAAATATTTGTAAACCATAAGCTGTATAGCTTCACGTCCCAACTACCCTTTTGATGGCAATGGAGCCAAATGCTTCCGAGTTCTGTAGCAAGCTCTGCCCACCTCTCGCCTGATTGGCACGGCGGAAACACCCAAGTGTAGGTGTGTTTTAGTTCCCAGACTAATACACAGGACTAAAACACACTCAGGCAAAAGTGGGGATATAATCGATTTAACCAATTACTTTTATATAGAGTAAAAGAAGTAGAGGTGTAATAATAAGACTAAAAGACCCTTATTACAGGTAATCGATTATTGGAGAACAACACAGTATGTTCCATCAGAAGTTTTTTTTTTATTTCTTTCCCATTTTATGATCGATAGATAAGGACGGTGCATGTCAATCATAAAAAAAATCAATAAAATATATCATTAAATAAAATGAAAATTTAAGTGTATGCTTGAGTACAAGCATTACATATATGCTACGCCACTGTGCTGAGACGCTGTGTGAAACGGTCAGTCATTGATAGGTATATGTATGTTGATTTGTAATTTATTGTCCTTCAGAAACATCCTCCCTCGTAACAGGTGAGACCGCTGACAAATGTATATATATGTTCTATAGGAAAATTTGTACATATTTCTAGTTTCATGATAAAAATAAAATTGAATCATATTTAATTTTATATGTTTACCATATGTATATGTTTACAGCATGTCATTAATAGAATGGATTTATAATTATGATATATCCACATATATCTTTTAAAGTATAAACACATTCTATATTTAATTTCTTATCTTCTGTACAACTGTTACCATTAGTAGTCATTATTACATGTAACTATATACATTTGTATGAGTACTTTAATACTTTAGAGTTCTTTTATACATAGTTGTTAATATAAATATAAAGATATCTGTGAAGTTCTTGTACACAGTACATACAGTGTATACACACACATACTGAAACTTTGCCAGCTACAGTACCTTATTCATTAACACTTAACATGTTATGACCAAGCTCAAAGTACCTGTAAGCATATATTTGCTGATGAACATACATGTTTGTGTGGTATACCTATACATGTGTATACTGTAACACTGTATACATATGTACATATACATTTGCCCACTCAAGTGTGACAAGAATTACCAAATAAAATGTTACCCGCTGTTCATTTGACTGAAACCTTTGGCGGTGATTTCCAGTGACATAGCTGGAGAACTATCAGTGGTGTACAGAAGACTTCAGCACTCTTCACCACGTCAGTGGTGTACAGAAGACTTCAGCACTCTTCACCACGTCAGTGGTGTACAGAAGACTTCAGCACTCTTCACCACGTCAGTGGTGTACAGAAGACTTCAGCACTCTTCACCACGTCAGTGGTGTACAGAAGACTTCAGCACTCTTCACCACGTCAGTGGTGTACAGAAGACTTCAGCACTCTTCACCACGTCAGTGGTGTACAGAAGACTTCAGCACTCTTCACCACGTCAGTGGTGTACAGAAGACTTCAGCACTCTTCACCACGTCAGTGGTGTACAGAAGACTTCAGCACTCTTCACCACGTCAGTGGTGTACAGAAGACTTCAGCACTCTTCACCACGTCAGTGGTGTACAGAAGACTTCAGCACTCTTCACCACGTCAGTGGTGTACAGAAGACTTCAGCACTCTTCACCACGTCAGTGGTGTACAGAAGACTTCAGCACTCTTCACCACGTCAGTGGTGTACAGAAGACTTCAGCACTCTTCACCACGTCAGTGGTGTACAGAAGACTTCAGCACTCTTCACCACGTCAGTGGTGTACAGAAGACTTCAGCACTCTTCACCACGTCAGTGGTGTACAGAAGACTTCAGCACTCTTCACCACGTCAGTGGTGTACAGAAGACTTCAGCACTCTTCACCACGTCAGTGGTGTACAGAAGACTTCAGCACTCTTCACCACGTCAGTGGTGTACAGAAGACTTCAGCACTCTTCACCACGTCAGTGGTGTACAGAAGACTTCAGCACTCTTCACCACGTCAGTGGTGTACAGAAGACTTCAGCACTCTTCACCACGTCAGTGGTGTACAGAAGACTTCAGCACTCTTCACCACGTCAGTGGTGTACAGAAGACTTCAGCACTCTTCACCACGTCAGTGGTGTACAGAAGACTTCAGCACTCTTCACCACGTCAGTGGTGTACAGAAGACTTCAGCACTCTTCACCACGTCAGTGGTGTACAGAAGACTTCAGCACTCTTCACCACGTCAGTGGTGTACAGAAGACTTCAGCACTCTTCACCACGTCAGTGGTGTACAGAAGACTTCAGCACTCTTCACCACGTCAGTGGTGTACAGAAGACTTCAGCACTCTTCACCACGTCAGTGGTGTACAGAAGACTTCAGCACTCTTCACCACGTCAGTGGTGTACAGAAGACTTCAGCACTCTTCACCACGTCAGTGGTGTACAGAAGACTTCAGCACTCTTCACCACGTCAGTGGTGTACAGAAGACTTCAGCACTCTTCACCACGTCAGTGGTGTACAGAAGACTTCAGCACTCTTCACCACGTCAGTGGTGTACAGAAGACTTCAGCACTCTTCACCACGTCAGTGGTGTACAGAAGACTTCAGCACTCTTCACCACGTCAGTGGTGTACAGAAGACTTCAGCACTCTTCACCACGTCAGTGGTGTACAGAAGACTTCAGCACTCTTCACCACGTCAGTGGTGTACAGAAGACTTCAGCACTCTTCACCACGTCAGTGGTGTACAGAAGACTTCAGCACTCTTCACCACGTCAGTGGTGTACAGAAGACTTCAGCACTCTTCACCACGTCAGTGGTGTACAGAAGACTTCAGCACTCTTCACCACGTCAGTGGTGTACAGAAGACTTCAGCACTCTTCACCACGTCAGTGGTGTACAGAAGACTTCAGCACTCTTCACCACGTCAGTGGTGTACAGAAGACTTCAGCACTCTTCACCACGTCAGTGGTGTACAGAAGACTTCAGCACTCTTCACCACGTCAGTGGTGTACAGAAGACTTCAGCACTCTTCACCACGTCAGTGGTGTACAGAAGACTTCAGCACTCTTCACCACGTCAGTGGTGTACAGAAGACTTCAGCACTCTTCACCACGTCAGTGGTGTACAGAAGACTTCAGCACTCTTCACCACGTCAGTGGTGTACAGAAGACTTCAGCACTCTTCACCACGTCAGTGGTGTACAGAAGACTTCAGCACTCTTCACCACGTCAGTGGTGTACAGAAGACTTCAGCACTCTTCACCACGTCAGTGGTGTACAGAAGACTTCAGCACTCTTCACCACGTCAGTGGTGTACAGAAGACTTCAGCACTCTTCACCACGTCAGTGGTGTACAGAAGACTTCAGCACTCTTCACCACGTCAGTGGTGTACAGAAGACTTCAGCACTCTTCACCACGTCAGTGGTGTACAGAAGACTTCAGCACTCTTCACCACGTCAGTGGTGTACAGAAGACTTCAGCACTCTTCACCACGTCAGTGGTGTACAGAAGACTTCAGCACTCTTCACCACGTCAGTGGTGTACAGAAGACTTCAGCACTCTTCACCACGTCAGTGGTGTACAGAAGACTTCAGCACTCTTCACCACGTCAGTGGTGTACAGAAGACTTCAGCACTCTTCACCACGTCAGTGGTGTACAGAAGACTTCAGCACTCTTCACCACGTCAGTGGTGTACAGAAGACTTCAGCACTCTTCACCACGTCAGTGGTGTACAGAAGACTTCAGCACTCTTCACCACGTCAGTGGTGTACAGAAGACTTCAGCACTCTTCACCACGTCAGTGGTGTACAGAAGACTTCAGCACTCTTCACCACGTCAGTGGTGTACAGAAGACTTCAGCACTCTTCACCACGTCAGTGGTGTACAGAAGACTTCAGCACTCTTCACCACGTCAGTGGTGTACAGAAGACTTCAGCACTCTTCACCACGTCAGTGGTGTACAGAAGACTTCAGCACTCTTCACCACGTCAGTGGTGTACAGAAGACTTCAGCACTCTTCACCACGTTAGTGGTGTACTAATAGAATCTTTCACCCCCTTTGGGGTGAGATAGGAGAATGTCAACCCAAGGGGGAGGATTCTTAAGTTGCCAAACACGAGGCTTTGCCGAGTGTTTGGCAACTAAAGAATCTTTCTCCGAGGGTTGAGATTCCACTATCACACCCACAAGGGGGTGAATGAATCTTTTTCTCTTACCCTGTTTTTTCATTGTGTATCATATGCACAATGTAATGATAACGTTACATGCTAAATTCAGGGTTGACGTGACGTTGATGGATTGTTGACGTGACGTCATTGTATTGTTAAAGTGACGTCATGCCATTGTTAGGAATAGGGGAATCCCCCCGTCTCAACCCTAGGGTGAGACAAGGAAATCTCACACCGGTAAAAATGCGGATACACCTGTCCAGGGTAAGAGAAAGAAGACTTCAGCACTCTTCACCACGTTAAGCATATATGTCAAATGGAAATATAAGGGTTGAATCAAGTTTATGGGTGAGGATCAGGATGAATTGAGTTGGTCTGGAGACGTATTCAATGAGAGTTGCTTGACCTCATAAATGTGACCGTAGCAAAATTTAATCCTTAAAATCATACTGGCTGATCAAAGCTACATTAATTTTGTAGTTAAATTAATAAGCTATATGTATACATATGTTTCGGACGTCAGTGATGAGTAAATTGTGTTTTTTCACATCGTTAACAGTGTCATTCACATTCCTCACAAATAAGAAGTCAATGGTCATTATCATCATTAATATTATATTAGAGGTCAGTCTTGTAGAATATAGTGTTTACAGAATTAATTAATTTCCATGTTTTTACTTTTCAACTGGTGAAGCTACATTGTATTTAACTGAACCAATACTAATCTACTCCCTGATGTTATTATTGTAACTTGGTGTGGCACTTAACTAATCTCTAGATACATGATTGAGCAGAGGACACAGATTTCAAATTATACAGGGTTTGGTTTGAACTGGAATCTCTTTACAAACTTCAGTCATCATCTAGCAACCTGCTTGGTGTTAATTACAGGCAAGGGCACCCTGACTGTAGACAAAGCTAACCCGTGTATCGAGGCAGAGACGTGTGGTATGTGTATGGAGAAAGGAAAGGACTGTGCATTCTGTACGGCCACAGTAAGTTATAGTACTACTATTCACTACAACAGTTGAATCCCCCAGTCCCTGATTGTAGAGAAGTTCTTGCAAAGTTTACGTATTTTTCTAAATTTCTAAATTTCCTGATACTTCATAGCAAGCTGTTAAGACAGACAGAATATTCTTAATGATATAACACGATATGGAGAGAAAAGAAAGACAAATAGATATACATGCTTTAGTATATATATATGTGACATGACAATTTCCACTATACAGAGGAAACGGGCTTGGCTATAGACTGTTAACATGTATAACAGTACGAATGTTTACATTTTGCAGTTTTATGACAAGGAGAATCTGCCGCGCTGTGACCTGAAATCTAATCACGTCAAGAGGAAATGTCAAGGCGACGATTTGTACGGTCCCGACAGTGACCTCACACCCGTCAGGGTAAACACATTGTTCATTACTCGTATTAAAAACAATATATTTTTGTATCTATCCCCCAGACCTTCAGCTATATTTTGGTCAATGCATGGTTTCTACTTTTCTAAATCACTATCCAGCCAAAGGTTAAACTCTTAAAGTTGTAGCAAGTTGTTGATACAGTGATTTTTGGAAAATTCCCTATGAGAAATAATAGTGTTAATGCAAATGTACATATATTTTCCAGTCAGATTTTATTTTTAAAAATATCTCGATACATGTGTATGTCTTTAATATTTTTAAATAAAATTGTGTTTTCCAGAATGATGGCGTGAAAAATGGAGGCGAAAACATTGACCTTGAACCTGCCATTCAGATCCAGCCCCAAGAAATCCGCCTTACAATTAGACCTAGTAAGTTTGGTGAATTGTTAAACAGTACAGGACATTGCTGTCTCTGTTTAAATGTTCAGATGTCTAAGTTACTTAAAGGTTACCTGTAATATTTTCACTTGCCAAGTGTATTCCGTCTTTGCGTATTGCAGAGTTATCTTCTCTTGAGAGCAGGTATTTAATGTTACGTCATTTGTTTGTGAGAGTAAAGAGAAGATAACTCTGCAATACGCAAAGACGGAATAATATTGTTGAATATTGAATTTGGTGTTTCGTCCAAGGAGAAGAAGTTATTAAAACTTAACTAGGTGACTAACAGAGTGTCATTTTGTATAATATATACGTGTGGTTTGTAGATGATCCCCAGAAGTTTAAGTTGACGTTCCGTCTGGCTGAAGACTACCCTGTAGACCTGTACTATCTCATGGACCTGTCACATTCCATGAAGGACGACAAAGAGCGACTGGCTTTACTCGGCACAGACATTGGTAATTACCTCCCCTTTATAACCCTGGGCCATAAGCTCCTTATATATCATCCTGAGCCAACAGATTACCTCCCCTGTTTAATCCCAGACATTTTAAGTAAGTTAACCCATTCACTCCTATAGTCACATTTGAACCTTACCAAATCAAAGACTGGGCAAGCCCATTTTAAATATGTAGGGGTGAATGAGTTAATATTTCTGAGTTAAAGGTTATAAGTCTCACCTCTATCGCATCTGATTCTTGTGTATTATATGTAGAATATTATATTTATAGTACTGACTCAATGAAAGATTTTAGTATTAAATCTACATGTCAGTCAAACATCTTTTAACTCATTTAATTTTTGTTGGGACACAGAATTTCTTGAAAAACTGAAAATGTTAACATAACTGGACACATAGTTCAAAGAATTTATTTTTAAAAAAATGCTCTGAAATCAAAACTGAATGCAGACTTCGATTTAGAGAAATAATAAACAAATGCAACACGTAATTTTATAATAAATATTGAAAAATTTCACTAACACTGACTTTAATTAGTCCCAAGCATAAAGCTGGTGAGATGATTGTTAACCCCTGTTGAACTCCCAATTTTATCACTTTGGATCTGTGTGTCAATATTGTTAGCATGTTTGATTCATGTGTTGTACAGCGGCAAAGATGAAGGGCATCACCAAGAACTTCCAGCTGGGCTTCGGGTCGTTTGTAGATAAAGTTGTGATGCCATATGTTAGCACAGCTCCGTCGAAGTAAGTGCCAATCTAATAAATCCTCTGCATGCCTTTGTATATTTTGCCACATGAATGGTGTGTGCTACCCGTATTACTTTGCAAATGTTCGTAAGATTTTAATTTTTTAAATTATTTATTTCTGACAGGTTTATAACACAGACTCCAGTAGATTTATATGTGATAGTCAGGGTTGCCGAAGGAAACCCCAAAAACAAACTGATTAGACAGGTGGTTGTTCTGGACAAGTGGTCGTTATATACAGGTTGCTATAATATAAGCTGCTTAGGTATTTTTTGGGGATGGTAATTATAGACATTTGGTCTATATTGATAAACAGATGGTTTCAATAACAATATACAAATTTATGTATCTTTTACTACAGGCAATTTTAAATCTTGATAAAAGGATAAATTACAATGTGTTTTATGACTTTTAATGTGTATTTCTCTGTAATCCACGGCTGATCGTTAACCTGCACTACAGTATACGCTGTACCTTACATGCATGTAACTGTATAGACGATACCTACTGTATACTTTACTATATCATTCCTGTTGATAATCAATTGAAGTTTAAGCTCACCCAGACCAAATAGCCTGGTGAGCTTATGCTATGGTTCAGCTTCCGTTGTTCGTACCTTGTCTGTGCGTCGTCTGTCAGGCAACTTTACCTTTGACAAAATTGGCCTGGAGGGGCAGGATGAAATGGAAGAAATTAAAAATAATTGTTACCAGTTTAATAAGGGAATACTGGCTGCACCATCAATACTCTTAATAAAAATAATTTGCCATGATTCCTCAGATATTTGGGTGAGCGATATAGGTCCTCTTGGCCTTTTATGTTGCCCATATTTGTCAGATATTTTAGTGTAATTTCAATTTATTTTGTATTTTTTGACTTGATTAATATAAAATCAAACAATTTTTGATTAAATTAAAAAAAAAATGTTTAAAGTTAAAATAAAAATGTTTTGATTAGGAATTTATAATTGTTATACAATGATTAGGATGTTTTTTTTACTGAAAATCTTGTTAACCCTGAAATATATTGTCAGTAAAATAAGGATGTTTTATAGACAGAAGATATTTAAACTAGGTAGAAGATAGGGAAATTGAAATAGTTAGCTGCATTGTGTTCATTTCCTCCTTTGTTTGCATCGTGAAACTTTACCTTATATTTAGACTGACGGTATTGTGAGACTTTACCCTATATTTAGACGGACGGTATTGTGAGACTTTGTCCTATATTTAGACTAACGGTATTGTGAGACTTTACCCTATATTTAGACTGACAGTATTTTGAGACTTTGTCCTATATTTAGACTGACGGTATTGCGAGACTTTACCCTATATTTAGACCGACGGTATTGTGAGACTTTACCCTATATTTAGACTGACAGTATTTTGAGACTTTGTCCTATATTTAGACTGACGGTATTGTGAAACTTTACCTTATATTTAGACTGACGGTATTGTGAGACTTTACCCTATATTTAGACGGACGGTATTGTGAGACTTTGTCCTATATTTAGACCGACGGTATTGTGAGACTTTACCCTATATTTAGACGGACGGTATTGTGAGACTTTGTCCTATATTTAGACCGACGGTATTGTGAGACTTTACCCTATATTTAGACGGACGGTATTGTGAGACTTTGTCCTATATTTAGACCGACGGTATTGTGAGACTTTACCCTATATTTAGACTGACGCTATTGTGAGACTTTACCCTATATTTAGACTGACAGTATTTTGAGACTTTGTCCTATATTTAGACTGACGGTATTGTGAAACTTTACCTTATATTTAGACTGACGGTATTGTGAGACTTTACCCTATATTTAGACGGACGGTATTGTGAGACTTTGTCCTATATTTAGACCGACGGTATTGTGAGACTTTACCCTATATTTAGACCGACGGTATTGTGAGACTTTACCCTATATTTAGACTGACAGTATTTTGAGACTTTGTCCTATATTTAGACTGACGGTATTGTGAGACTTTACCCTATATTTAGACCGACGGTATTGTGAGACTTTACCCTATATTTAGACGGACGGTATTGTGAGACTTTGTCCTATATTTAGACTGACGGTATTGTGAGACTTTGTCCTATATTTAGACTGACAGTATTGTGAGACTTTGACCTATTGTTCGACTTAATTCCATCACTGCTGTAGCATTTTGTTTGACTATATTCATTTATTTTCAGATTTTGTTTTACGCTTTTGAAGGCAAAACCAAAATATTTCACACTAGAAATCACTAGCACATGTTTACTTTCCAGTGAACAATGTATCGAGTATTTATGATTTTACTGCTGCCTGGTAAACTTTTGAACATTTCTTGGTTTTGCCGCTAAGTGGTTTTGATATGCCGTATATTGATATTTGGTTTTGTTTTCATACAGTTCAGAGTTACTTCTGGTGTACATATTTAAATCTTTACCACTGTAGATCGAAATAGACTGAACCAGATCAGTACACAGTAGAATCTACTGAAGGAACATAGGGGTGAAAAGGTTAATGACAAAATATAAAACATCCTGCTGGTTGTCCCACTTTATACAGTAGGTGTGTTTAGGAATTTTTCTTTATGTTTCCATACAAATTATAATGATGTCAACACTTTCCTGCCTATTTAAACTGGAAAAGAAAGTGGCTGGGCTGATGATTAATGCTGTTTTATAACAGAAGCTTTCTGAATGTTATCATGATCAAGCTCTTAGAGTAATAACTTAACTTATATATTATCCTCACTATCTTTCAAATTAAAGTTTTGGAAAAAAATGTTTGCTGACAAAAGAATAATGACAACCAACATTACTGAAAATTTGTACCAGTGGTACCGCATTTATAGGTGGCAAAGGTATCGGAACTCATTTAGAATATTACAAAAAAGATATACAGGACTAACTAGAAGTAACTCTGACGGGAACACAAAGCCATGGACTCGATTATCTCCCTTGTTTGTGTCTGTCTTGTGCTTCATGCTTGTTGTGTAATTTTATTATAAAACAGGGAACCTGGTTCGATAAAACCGACGTAAGTGTTCATGCTGTTCTGCACTGCTTGCACTGGGGAGCATAAAGCCTGTGGCTATCATGTATACAAGCCATGTCACACCAACCTCATACCACAAATACGTTTCATACTCCACAAGTACTCACTGTTTCTCTCAGCTGTTTCGGGGAATCGCCACTAGGAGGGGAAATTGAATACATATTGGAAGTCTAAATCCACTGTTACTCCACTTTTTCTCTTTATTTCTTCTCATAGAAAATTGGATTTTCTTAAGCCTTTCGTATTAGTGAAATGAAAGAAAAAATATTAAATCTCATATCGAAAGAAGCAAAAGTTTGCCCATATTAATGATAAATGTATGCAGGGGAAATCCTGACGTTAGTTATTTGTTAATTGTAACTTAGAGACAGATTTTAATTCATTCATCCCTGGAGTTTCATAATGAACTATTCCAACCTTTGAATTGGAAGGGTTCAAATGTGACTTCAGGGGTGAATGAGTTAGCACAAGAAACAGTGGTAGAGCAGCAGGAAGCTAATCTTTCTGTCTCTTCCTCCATTGTACCATTGTCACTGTAAACGTTGCCAATGTGTAAGCGTCCCTCCAGAGTTAAAAGGTCTTGAGTTCGAGTCCCGATCAGGCCATTGCATTTTTCCTTTCCTGTTATATTTGGAGCCAACTTGAAATGTGCACCGTATACAGTTGAAAAATGATGTTTTTCTAGTTATATTTCAATAATTTGTTACATTTTGTGCAGTTATGCATGACAAGGGTTCTAAGTCGGACATTTTGTTGTACTACGAGTCTGAATCGATGCAGCATGGTAAGTGGTGGAACAGTCCACTACGCCCTACCATGGTAAGTGGTGGAACAGTCCACTACGCCCGACCAAGAGGCACAATAACAAGTCCTGAGTTTAGTACAATGATACAGTGTCGTATATTATACATAATATTTGTTTGGGTAGTTGTATATTTTGTGTAGTTTATGCTAGGTAGAGTATGATGATAATGAGGTTTATAGGGGTCTTACTATCATGAAACATTATCAGGTACTACATGTGAAGATTTTGATATGTAACATTTTGGGAGTACTTCAATTTAAGATTTCAGTATGCCATATTCGTTACTACCTGTGGAGATTTTTGTATGAGACATTTAAGGGTATACTGTATGTAAGGGTTTCAGTATGGGATATTGTGGGGTACCACGTGTAAGGGTTTTGGTCTGAGACATTGTGGGTACTACATCCAAGGGTTTAGGTATGAGACATTGTGGGGTACCATGTGTTAGGGTTTTGGTATAAGACATGGTGGGGTACTACATCCAAGGGTTTTGGTCCGAGACATTGTGGGGTACTACATCCAAGGTTTTTGGTATGAGAATTGGTTGGGTACTACATTCAAGGGTTTTGGTCTGGACATGGTGGGGTACTACATCCAAGGGTTTTGGTATGAGACATTGTGGGGTACTACATCCAAGGGTTTTGATCTGAGACATGGTGGGGTATTACATCCAAGGGTATTGGTATAAGACATTGTGGGGTACTACATCCAAGGGTTATGGTATGAGACATTGTGGGGTACTACATCCAAGGGTTTTGGTATGAGACATTGTGGGGTACTACATCCAAGGGTATTGTTATAAGACATTGTGGGGTACTGCATCCAAGGGTTTTGGTCTGAGACATGGTGGGGTACTACATCCAAGGGTTTTGGTATGAGACATTGTGGGTACTACATCCAAGGGTTTTGGTATAAGACATTGTGGGGCACTACATCCAAGGGTTTTGGTATAAGACATTGTGGAGTACTACATCCAAGGGTTTTGGTATGAGACATTGTGGGGTACTACATCCAAGGGTATTGGTATAAGACATTGTGGGGCACTACATCCAAGGGTTTTGGTATAAGACATTGTGGGGCACTACATCCAAGGGTTTTGGTATAAGACATTGTGGGATACTACATCCAAGGGTTTTGGTATGAGACATTGTGGGTACTACATCCAAGGGTTTTGGTATAAGACATTGTGGGGTACTACATACAAGGGTTTTGGTATAAGACATTGTGGAGTACTACATCCAAGGGTTTTGGTATGCGACATTGTGGGGTACTACATCCAAGGGTTTTTGTATAAGACATTGTGGGGTACTACATCCAAGGGTTTTGGTATAAGACATTGTGGGGTACTACATCAAAGGGTTTTGGTATGAAACATTTTGGGGTACTACATCCAAGGGTTTTGGTATAAGACATTGTGGGGTACTACATCCAAGGGTTTTGGTATGAGACATTGTGGGGTACTACATCCAAGGGTTTTGGTATGAGACATTGTGGTATACATTGAATTGTAGAGTATACTGTATGGAGGTTTTGGTATGACGACAGCTAACTCATGCATGGCTATATACCTGTACAGCTTTGGCTGATCTCTCTATACCTACATGTATGAATGCTTTATATCAAATCATCTATTCTACAGTTTACTTGTAAATGTATCTTTTTAAGCAAAAAGTGAAAACGAGTTTGGTATTAGAAGTTATAATATTGCAGGTGTTCGTGCTAAAAACTTGTGAAAACAATACAATATTTTAAGGTTGCAGACGTTGGGAACTGGTTGCAATTTGTGTGGTTGGATTTAGTGTGAACCCTGCACCAATGATGTGTATTCACTGGTGGACTGTGCTTGGGGAGCACATCCTTAATTAAGTGTACCTATGTTGTGTGTATATACCTCACAAAAACTAAATAATGTGGTGTGTCTGATGTTCATTTTACGTCAATTTTCCGTAATGAATGGTCAGTGGATGGTCATTTTCAACTGATCCCTCCCTCCCCCACTCCCATTATATTCTTAACAATGATTTCTCAGTAACTGATCTGTATACATATGTTTATATTCTAACGAAATCTTTTCATATTACTAAAATGTATATAAATCTTTATACCTAATGTTATATAAATCTCAATCATATAAAATCTGTTCTCTACACTAATATAAAATCTATTTGCTATATAATAAAAAAAATATCTGTTTGCTATATAATAAATAAGATCTCTTTGCTATACTATATAAAAAAATATATTTTTTTATATAATAGATAAGATCTGTATGCTACAAATTGAATAAGATCCCTGACAAAATGCTATATGAGATAAAGGTTTAATAAATTTACATAAAATCTGCTACAAAATGTTCTAGACAGTCTCTCAATGTTAAGTAAAGTCTCTCAATGTGAAATGTACTACATTATGTGTTATGGATGGATGGACAGTTTTATACCGTACCTAAGTATAACGATAACATCCAACCTGTTGCCACAGAGCAGTGTCAGAATCCTGTATTGGAGACCTGTCTGACCAGTGCATGTAGGATTGTGAGAGCTAATATCTCTGCATGGCAGCATATAGCTTCAGATTCTCTAGTTGGTTTAGAAATAGATGAGATGTTGCATGAATAAAATCTGATTTAGATTGTCAAATTGTCCAGTTGGTGTGGACGACTTTCTAGGATAGAGCTACACAGCATGACGTGTAGGCGGGGTTACCTGGATCAGCGAGAGTGGCAGATGTCATTCTGTTAGCAGTATACTTGTTCAACTGTAGTAAATGTAGAGCTGTTTTTGAAAAGAAAAATAGTGCAAACTAGTATAAGATTTATGTAAGCTATATATAGACCAGTGCAGTAATATGTATAGTCCTGACTCCCCTTTTTTGACCCTCTACGTGTAACATAAAACTCCTGTACATAACCTCTATTTTCGCCCACTATAACGGTCTAGAACCTCTAACCGTCTGTTTTCTTTCTAACTAGCTAGCTACATCTTAGAAATATTGGGACTGTTGTTACTACAACATCACAGAAAACTTGGGACTCTGTCGACCTTTTCAATACCTTCTTTAAATATATCTATATGCTGTATTACATTTGTAAATATAAAAACTTTATCTTTCCCCATCAAAAAGGTCTGTTGGGTATTTCTTCTCGAAAATAATAACCGATTCATATTTGCAAATTGTAGCTATGAGGCAGGCAAATCCTTTTGAACAATATTGTAGAGAAAATTGAAGAAAAAAAAATCACAGTTATTGCACCAAATTTTGTCTGCATGATTTTGCTAATTTTTAATCACTAAATTGTCAAACGGATGGAATCTTCATGTTGTGCAACTCTGTTTGTAAAAAGCCTGTCCTTAAAACTTATCTCTATTTTCAGATTGAACAGCCCTTGTCCTGGATGTGATCCCCCATATGGCTTCAAAAATCAGCTCAAACTTGACAAGGACACTACCAGATTTGCAGTAAGTATTTACACACAGTACTCAAACTTTACAAGGACACTACCAGATTTGCAGTAAGTATTTACACACAGTACTCAATCTTGACAAGAACACTACAGATTTGCAGTAAGTTTTTACACACAGTACTCAAACTTGACACGGACACTACCTGATTTGCAATAGGTTTTTACACACAGTACTTAAAATTGACAAGGACACTACCAGATTTGCAATAGGTTTTTACACACAGGACTCAAACTTGACAAGGACACTACCAGATTTGCAGTAAGTATTTACACACAGTACTCACACTTGACAAGGACACTACCAGATTTGCAGTAAGTATTTACACACAGTACTCAAACTTTACAAGGACACTACCAGATTTGCAGTAAGTATTTACACACAGTACTCACACTTGACAAGGACACTACCAGATTTGCAGTAAGTATTTACACACAGTACTCAAACTTGGCAAGGACACTACCAGATTTGCAATAGGTTTTTACGCACAGTACTCAAACTTGACAAGGACACTACCAGATTTGCAATAGGTTTTTACACACGGTACTCAAACTTGACAAGGACACTACCAGATTTGCAATAGGTTTTTACGCACAGTACTCAAACTTGACAAGGACACTACCAGGTTTGCAATAGGTTTTTACACACAGTACTTAAACTTGATAAGGACACTACCAGATTTGCAGTAAGTATTTACACACAGTACTCACACTTGACAAGGACACTACCAGATTTGCAGTAAGTTTTTACACACAGTACTCAAACTTGACACGGACACTACCTGATTTGCAATAGGTTTTTACACACAGTACTTAAAATTGATAAGGACACTACCAGATTTGCAGTAAGTATTTACACACAGTACTCACACTTGACAAGGACACTACCAGATTTGCAGTAAGTATTTACACACAGTACTCAATCTTGACAAGAACACTACAGATTTGCAGTAAGTTTTTACACACAGTACTCAAACTTGACAAGGACACTAACAGATTTGCAGTAAGTATTTACACACAGTACTCAAGCTTGACAAGGACACTACCAGATTTGCAATAGGTTTTTACGCACAGTACTCAAACTTGACAAGGACACTACCAGGTTTGCAATAGGTTTTTACACACAGTACTTAAACTTGATAAGGACACTACCAGATTTGCAGTAAGTATTTACACACAGTACTCAAGCTTGACAAGGACACTACCAGATTTGCAATAGGTTTTTACGCACAGTACTCAAACTTGACAAGGACACTACCAGATTTGCAGTAAGTATTTACACACAGTACTGTCAGCCTTTCTCATGTCTCTCCCTCCTCCTGACCTGGGATAAAGACATAATGACCAAAAGTGGTAAATCTTACAAGACCACTTTAGTACCGTTTAAGTGATTTGTTACCTAATTTTATATGTACACGGTACCATCCCTGGGCCAAGGGAATTTGTTGATGCATACAATATATAGTCCCTGCCAATCTCTAGGGCAGAGGGGAGCAGCCAAAAAGAGGAAACAGAAATCTTTTAAAACACTTTTCCTGAAGTGCAGGTGAAGACATTTTGACCAAAGGCATGAATCGAAGCATCCCTGGATCAAGCTAAATTCAGTATTGTTTAAAAATGAAAGCTGTCTCCTCTCAAGACAGATATTCAGATCCAAAAGAGAAAATGTTTGTTTTTTCTAAAACTCTCCTTATTAAACCATTAATGAAACGAATTTGACTGAATTTGCCATGGAGTGTTCTAAGGCTAAGGGATAAACTAATAATTTTAAGGTTACATTGTCCAGAATGTAAAATAAGAGTCCATCTTTGAAAACCTAATAAGTCTCTTAAGATATAAATGAAATGTTGACCTAATTCTGCATTGAAATGAATGGGATTCAGTGTTGTGTAAATGAAGGGTTGACATTCCTTTGGTACGGAGCAGTGTGAGGTTCAGTATCGAAAGTGGGACAAAATCATTTCAATTTCTGAAGCTAATTAAGGAAGTATTTATCAACTTGGTGCAAATTATCATCTCATAACCATTTGTTAACTTGTGTGATTTGAGATGCAAGATGTCCACCTAATATTTTCTGATTGGAAGTGATATTTTCAATATCTTAATTTCCTTCAGGCCAATTTAAAACAAAGTTACAAAATATGTATGTTCTTACCTTCTCTTTTCATAGACACTTTGACATTTTCATACACGTTATCCAAGCCAGTACTCAATACTTAAGTCATGTGTATACTAGGGTTGCAATGATATATCATATTTTATCATATTTATAAAACTTGTTTTAGAAACCTTGAATAAAGATGTGGGCCACTGCAAAAGTATTAAAAATCATTCAAAAGTCTATTTTGACAGTATTTACTATGTATGTCTATTTTGACAGTATTTACTATGTATGTCTATTTTGACAGTATTTACTATGTATGTCTATTTTGACAGTATTTACTATGTATGTCTATTTTGACAGTATTTACTATGTATGTCTATTTTGACAGTATTTACTATGTATGTCTATGACAAAACTCCTGCACTCAATTATTATGAAGCAGATATGTGTATTGTGATATACAACACACCTACCTCACGATACGATATGTATCACGGTATGATACTTAGATACATACATATGTATGTTTCGTATTTTAAGCATCATACCATGATATATTTGAAGCCATACTTGCTTTACAACAGATATAAACACTAATAACTTGTTCCCTGCTTGTCATTAGACAGAGGTACGAGCTGCCAAGGTGTCTGGTAACCTGGACGCTCCTGAGGGAGGATTTGACGCCATCATGCAGAGCCTTGTGTGTGAAGTAAGTAGAGTCAACAGCTGATCATAGAAAACGTACCGGTCAGAATGTGGTCAGCTGCTGGTCAGAGAAAAAATTACTGGTTAGGATGTTGTCAACTGCTGGTCAGAGAAAAATTACTGGTCAGAATGTGGTCAACTGCTGGTCAGCGATTTCTGGTTGACATAGATGTTTTGTTGAATGTTGATGTAGAACAAATTTATATGTAGCAAATAGTTCTTTGCATTCAAAACATCTCAAAATTAAATTTGAATTTTGTTTTTAAAAAGGTAAAAAATCGTAAGAGAATCAATTTTCACAAAATTGACCTAATTTACCGTAAAAATCTTAGTAATTTTACTGTGAATGGGTTGTTACATTAGTAATGTTGATCAATGCGTCACAGAGCATCAATGTTTGTGTTTAAAGTTTTCTACTGATTTATATCTATATTTTCAATTATAGTATATCAATTCTATCTTCTTGTAATATGATGTATATGTACATGTAACTGTTCTGTTTCACTGTGTCTTGAAAAAGGAGCGGATCGCTCCGAAAATTTGACAACCTAAACTTGTCCACACTGTTGGAATTACTTCTTTGCCCCATATATATATCGTATATATATATATAAGAAGAAACATGAAACCAGCAAACATCAGTACAATGAGTGCCTTAGGAAAAATAAAGTTCAGGATCGATAGACAATTGTTAAATTTGTTTCTGTTGATAATTATTTAACTTTTGTGAATAGTTTTCAGGGAATTATTGAAATCTATCCAATTTGAAGATATAAATACTTTGTGTTGTTGTGTATAAAATCTTTACAAAATATTGTTTTGACCACACAACATTGATGGGATGATCTAAGGTAAGGCTGTGATGGTGGGCTTCCGTAGGACGGATTGGTGCCTATTATCTTGTCTCCAACACCGCTCCATACGGAGCTCGCTGTAGGGTTCCTCTGTTGTTTGTAGGTCTCCAGAAGATTTAATTCTAGTTAAAACTAAAGGCTGATCAAAGTAAAAGTTACATTTTTTTCATTTTTTCATTTTTTTCTTGATGCATGCTTTGTTTTTACATGCACTATGCGTATTTAGATTTTTTTTGCTTTAAATCTATTTTCTTTAAGATCACGATACCATACAAGAAAAGATATATACAAATTGTAGATTAGAAATGAAAAAACTAAATTTATAAAAACTTGGATCATGTTTTTATTTACATTTGACTGCCTGGCCACATTATCGTGAAACTTTTCAACTGTAAGAGCGTTCTTACACATGTATTTCTCAATATTCTTCAATTTCACTTTTCCTCTCATCTGCTGTACAAATCACAAAGTGATTTCATAACATATTTTCATAATATTTTTTACTATCTAATAAACATTTGAGGAAATTAAGCAGTTAAAATAAGTTAGATTGTGAGAAATGAAAACATTCTTAAAGAAGTAAAGTTTTGTGATTGCGGATCCGGAGTCCTGATTGATCAAGCATGAACCCAGTATAATTATGACAATTTAGGAGCAGATTGGATGGAGGGCAGCCTCGCGACGTATGTTGCTATTCTCTACAGATGCCGACTTTCACTATGCAGGAGATGGAAAGGTTTGTCTGCCCTGACTGGCCACTAGGAGGCGCTGACCTCCGTCAACAAGTGTGGCGGACTAACACAGTTAACTCGGCTACGTGTGTAGCATTACTAAGTAGACCCACTGCCAACTCGGCTACGTGTGTAGCATTACTAAGTAGACCCACTGCCAACTCGGCTACGTGTGTAGCATTACTAAGTAGACCCACTGCCAACTCGGCTACATATGGAGGCAATCTGACGATTTAAGTGACAGTGTCTCAATATATTACTGGTGTATGTCTTTTTTCTCAGTGACAGTGTCACAATATATTACCGGTAAATGTCTTATTTCATGGCGGAGGAAAAGACCAATTGTCATGAATCTAATTCCTTAGTTGAAGGAACAGACACATCTTAAATCCGGGTACAATAACACATGCTCACGTGATTGCAGATTTGGCAGGAGGTCAGCTTGTTTTATAAAGGAAATATGTTTTTACAGCTTCAAACATTTTCTCTTAACAAAGAGTTTTCTTATCTTTTTTGTTTCTCCCTTGACAGACTACAGGTCGTCCTCTAATAAAACAATAGTGGGGCTGGGGTTGAAACGTTTTGTCTGGACTTATGGTGTCTCTATTAAATCTTTTAATACACAAATTCAAACTGTGGGTGTGTTTGTCTTGGTCTCAGATCCAACACTGAAGAGACGAGCTTACAGAGATCTGTACATGTTTCCTCCCAGTGGTGTGACTATTGTTCTGTTCGTCACGTAATGTCAGCTGTGATCATGAAATGAACAACCTAGGCCTGACCTTGACCTTATTGTGTCAATCATCTTGCACTGTATAGTTTGTAATATTCTTTTGGGATTTATGAAGAAAATTCGTAATTAGGAGGTACACTACTCATTCTGCCTAGTTCTAAAGGCCTAGGTCCCATCCAACTACTGCGCTACAAAAAAGTTCATTTGTAAATAAATGAATGATTACTAAAATAAAGCATATGAGGTCAAGTGAGGAAACTCTAATTGGACTTTTCATTTTGTTACTGACCAATGTGGTGTAGATTGTAACCTCAATAAAACTATCACATTGTCCCCATGAATGTTTGCAAAGGTCACAGGTCAAGGTTACAAAGGTCACATGTCAAGGGGAAATGAGAACAAGAATAGCACACTCCATTCAATCTGGTCATCTTTTATACTGAACTTTCTTCATTTTGTTTAAGCTGACATAATACAGTGGAGCCTTTTTATAATCCAGTCACAGTTGTTTCCAGTAGATAACCAAGCCAGTGGGATATCTAGTAGATGATCGATCTACTGTCATTAACTCATTCAACCCTACATATTTGGACTGGACTTGCCCAGTCTTTTATTTGGTAAAGTTCAAATGTGACTTTAGGAGTGAATGGGTAAACAAGCGGTAAATTGGGTTGGACTGTTTGGTATGTTAATTACTGGGACAATTTTATAGAAAAACGTGGCCAATCTGTCCTCTAAAACACCCACTGGATACCAGAACAACTGATTGTACAGGAAGTGGCCAATCTGTCCTCTAAAACTACCACTGGATACCAGAACAACTGATTGTACAGGAAGTGGCCAATATGTCCTCTAAAACACCCACTGGATAACAGAACAACTGATTGTACAGGAAGTGGCCAATATGTCCTCTAAAACAGCCACTGGATAACAGAACAACTGATTGTACAGGAAGTGGCCAATCTGTCCTCTAAAACTCCCACTGGATAACAAAACAATTGATTGTACAGGAAGTGGCCAATATGTCCTCTAAAACTCCCACTGGATAACAAAACAATTGATTGTACAGGAAGTGGCCAATATGTCCTCTAAAACTCCCACTGGATAACAAAACAATTGATTGTACAGAAAGTGGCTAATCTGTCCTCTAAAACACCCACTGGATAACAAAACAACTGATTGTACAGAAAGTGGCTAATCTGTCCTCTAAAACACCCACTGGATAACAGAACAACAATATTGTTGGTGGCTGGGAGAACAGGCTCCACTGTCTTTGCTTCTTTAGCCTTTTTAAGCTGACTTAATTCCTGCTTTTTTTGCTGTATTAATTATAAGCTTACCTTATGCTTGCCTTTACTACTGTGTTCTGTCATATATATATTTACTGTTATGACTTTCAAGTTTTCAGGGAGGTTTAAGAAGGCCTTTAAATCACCTATTTTAATGATTGCTACTGTATTTTACCATATATAATAACCGTTGTGGCCTCCGAAATTTCAGGAAGACATTGGTTGGAGAGCCTCGTCTCGTAGGATGCTTCTATTTTCTACGGACGCAAGTTTTCATTTTGCTGGTGACGGAAAGGTCGGTCTTTGTCAAAAATATTGAAACTTGTTATGTTGAGTAGGTTTGATATTACTACAGTAGGACTGTTTAGAGCTTTGATCGATGGTAGATGTGATGGTAGTATTCGTAGGACTGAATGCCGATGTTCGGGATTGCAGTTTGCATGTTTTTTGTAAATATTTGTAGAGTTGATAGAGGATTGGATTGTTTGGGAGGAATGATGTATTACTGGATAGGCAAAAATGTCCCTTTCTCAGTCGGGGTGTAATTTACAGGGCAGATGATTGTGCTGTCTGTCCTGGATTGGTTCTGTTAATTTATGCATGTTTCTCGCTAACATAACATTACTGTACGTTGTATATATAACCGTAGAACTGTTATATATGCGTACACTAACCCTTCAGTACACAACATGTCCAGAGAGTGCCTCCAACATGTCAGAACTTTAACACTCGATGGCCTCTGTATGGGCATGCTGTACTTAATTGATAATTGACAGTAGTGCTCTTGCTTTGTAGTTAATTCAGGGGGAGGTAACTCTGCACGCATGTATCCTGAAGTTATAGTTCTATGCATTGATAATTACTAACCTATATTTTACATGAGCTTACATAACTAGTATATTTACATTCTTTGTGAAATATAATATCATTATGTCCTCACAATTCAGTAGCTAGTAGCAGGATTCTAAGCATAATGTGAAAATTATAAAAAGTTGCATATTTTCTGTCAGTCAAGTGTCACTTATTATGAATAATTATAATTCATCTTTTGATGTTATAAACTTAGCTTTTGTAAATTTTTCGTTAATAATTTGATAATTATAATTGTGATATTTTGCCTTATTTGTCTTTGTTTTTTTTTGTTAACGCATTCATATATTTCTGGTCACAGCTCGGAGGCATCGTGAAACCAAACGACGGCAATTGTTACATGAGTGCAAATGAATACACAAAGAGCACAGAGCAGGTAGGTATATCTGTGTACATGTGTTAACTAGTATCAGCCTGGGCCATAGCTGTATTTACCCCAGTCTGTAGGTATATCTGTGAACATGTGTTAACTAGTATCACCCTGGGCCACGGCTGTATTTACCCCAGTCTGTAGGTATATCTGTTTACATGTGTTAACTAGTATCACCCTGGGCCACAGCTGTATTTACCCCAGTCTGTAGGTATATCTGTGAACATGTGTTAACTAGTATCACCCTGGGCCACAGCTGTATTTACCCCAGTCTGTAGGTTTACCTGTGTACATGTGTTAACTAGTATCACCCTGGAATACAGCTGTATTTACCCCAGTCTGTAGGTATATCTGTGTACATGTGTTAATTAGTATCAGCCTGGGCCACAGCTGTATTTACCCCAGTCTGTAGGTATATCTGTGTACATGTGTTAACTAGTATCAGCCTGGGCCACAGCTGTATTTACCCCAGTCTGTAGGTATATCTGTGTACATGTGTTAACTAGTATCAGCCTGGGCCACAGCTGTATTTACCCCAGTCTGTAGGTATATCTGTGTACATGTGTTAACTAGTATCAGCCTGGGCCACAGCTGTATTTACCCCAGTCTGTAGGTATATCTGTGTACATGTGTTAACTAGTATCAGCCTGGGCCACAGCTGTATTTACCCCAGTCTGTAGGTATATCTGTGTACATGTGTTAACTAGTATCAGCCTGGGCCACAGCTGTATTTACCCCAGTCTGTAGGTATATCTGTGTACATGTGTTAACTAGTATCAGCCTGGGCCACAGCTGTATTTACCCCAGTCTGTAGGTATATCTGTGTACATGTGTTAACTAGTATCAGCCTGGGCCACAGCTGTATTTACCCCAGTCTGTAGGTATATCTGTGTACATGTGTTAACTAGTATCAGCCTGGGCCACAGCTGTATTTACCCCAGTCTGTAGGTATATCTGTGTACATGTGTTAACTAGTATCAGCCTGGGCCACAGCTGTATTTACCCCAGTCTGTAGGTATATCTGTGTACATGTGTTAACTAGTATCAGCCTGGGCCACAGCTGTATTTACCCCAGTCTGTAGGTATATCTGTGTACATGTGTTAACTAGTATCAGCCTGGGCCACAGCTGTATTTACCCCAGTCTGTAGGTATATCTGTGTACATGTGTTAACTAGTATCAGCCTGGGCCACAGCTGTATTTACCCCAGTCTGTAGGTATATCTGTGTACATGTGTTAACTAGTATCAGCCTGGGCCACAGCTGTATTTACCCCAGTCTGTAGGTATATCTGTGTACATGTGTTAACTAGTATCAGCCTGGGCCACAGCTGTATTTACCCCAGTCTGTAGGTATATCTGTGTACATGTGTTAACTAGTATCAGCCTGGGCCACAGCTGTATTTACCCCAGTCTGTAGGTATATCTGTGTACATGTGTTAACTAGTATCAGCCTGGGCCACAGCTGTATTTACCCCAGTCTGTAGGTATATCTGTGTACATGTGTTAACTAGTATCAGCCTGGGCCACAGCTGTATTTACCCCAGTCTGTAGGTATATCTGTGTACATGTGTTAACTAGTATCAGCCTGGGCCACAGCTGTATTTACCCCAGTCTGTAGGTATATCTGTGTACATGTGTTAACTAGTATCAGCCTGGGCCACAGCTGTATTTACCCCAGTCTGTAGGTATATCTGTGTACATGTGTTAACTAGTATCAGCCTGGGCCACAGCTGTATTTACCCCAGTCTGTAGGTATATCTGTGTACATGTGTTAACTAGTATCAGCCTGGGCCACAGCTGTATTTACCCCAGTCTGTAGGTATATCTGTGTACATGTGTTAACTAGTATCAGCCTGGGCCACAGCTGTATTTACCCCAGTCTGTAGGTATATCTGTGTACATGTGTTAACTAGTATCAGCCTGGGCCACAGCTGTATTTACCCCAGTCTGTAGGTATATTTGTGTACATGTGTTAACTAGTATCACCCTTGGCCACAGCTGTTTTTACCCCAGTCTGTAGGTAAACTGTATTTAACTAACAATTTACCTAGTATGATTATCTCTCTGTAGGTAAATTGGTTTACCCAGAATTATCACCTGTCTCGGTAAATTGTATTTACCCAGAATGATTACCTGTCTAGATAAATCCTTTTAACCCAGAATGATTACCTGGTCATAGGTTAATTGTATTTACCCTCTAGGATTACCTGGTCATAGGTTAATTGTATTTACCCTCTAGGATTACCTGGTCATAGGTTAATTGTATTTACCCTCCAGGATTACCTGGTCATAGGTTAATTGTATTTACCCTCTAGGATTACCTGGTCATAGGTTAATTGTATTTACCCTCTAGGATTACCTGTTAGCTTTTTATAGGAATGATAATCTGTCATTGGGTAAAATCTCCTCTATTTGCTTCGATAGGATTATCCCTCGGTGAGTCAGATAGCTGCTAACATCAAAGACAAGAACACAAACATCATCTTTGCTGTGACGAAGGACCAGTTCCCCACCTACAAACAGCTAGAGAAGTTTATAGCTGGCTCTGTGACAGGAGAGCTCGCCAACGACTCGTCCAATATAGTAACACTTGTACAGCAGAACTACGACGTAAGTTTATGCATGTAGCACCTTGTGTGTGTATGAAGGTCAGGGTCATTAACAAGCACTGTTTATGTTAAAATGTTATTCCTATATCTCATATGTGAACAAAGTTCAAGGTCACTCAACTACCCTTTATAAATGCAAACGTCTTTGGGGACTGGGTATTTTTTTCCTTTTTATGTTTTACAGGTTTCAATCTTAACTTTAAAATAATTCTACTCGTTTGCTTTGACAGAAAATTACTTCCAAACTGGAACTTACAACAGAGAATGCTGAGGGTCTTGATGTCAAATTCTTCACTAAGTGCACAGGGTAAGTGTCATCTAACGCTGTTTAACTCGAGCATGTAAGTGTCATCTAACCCTGTATAACTCGAGCGTGTAATGTAGATAACCCTGTATACCTCGAGCATGTAATGTAGATATCCCTATATCACTTGAGCATGTAATGTAGATAAGCCTGTATAACTCTAGCATGTAATGTAGATAACCCTTTATAACTCGTGCATGTAATGTAGATAACCCTTTATAACTCGTGCATGTAATGTAGATAACCCTGTATCACTTGAGCATGTAATGTAGATAATCCTGTATAACTCGAGCATGTAATGGAGATAACCCTGTATAACTCGAGCGTGGAATGTAGATAACCCTGTATAACTCTAGCATGTCATGTAGATAACCCTGTATAACTTGAGCATGTAATGTAGATAATCCTGTATAACTCAAGCATGTAATGGAGATAACCCTGTATAACTCGAACATGTTATGTAGATAACCTTGGATAACTCGAACGTGTAATATAGAGAACCCTGTATAACTCTAGCATGTAAGTGTCATCTAACCCTGTATAACTCGAGCGTGTAGTGTAGATAACCCTGTATAACTCAAGCATTTAATGTATATAACCCTGTATAACTTGAGCATGTAATGTAGATAATCCTGTATAACTCGAGCATGTAATGCAGATAACCCTGTATAACTCGAGCATGCAATCTAGATAACCCTGTATAACTCGAGCATGTAATGTAGATAACCCTGTATAACTCGAGCATGTTATGTAGATAACCTTGTATAACTCGAACGTGTAATATAGATAACCCTGTATAACTCTAGCATGTAATGTAGATAACCCTGTATAACTCGAGCATGTAATGTAGATATCCCTGTATAACTCGTGCATGTAATGTAGATATCCCTGTATAACTCGTGCATGTAATGTAGATATCCCTGTATCACTTGAGCATGTAATGTAGATAACCCTGTATAACTCGAGCATGTGAGTGTCATCTAACCCTGTATAACTCGAGCATGTAATGTAGATAACCCTGTATAACTCAAGCATGTATTGTAGATAACCCTGTATAACTCGAGCGTGTAATGTAGATAACCCTGTATATTGAGCATGTAATGTAGATAACCCTGTATAACTCGTGCATGTAATGTAGATAACCCTTTATAACTCGTGCATGTAATGTAGATAACCCTGTATAACCTTAAATTTTTACACGAAATTGTTGGGCGTTTCTTGATGTTCGATATCATCATGTAATAAGTTCATCCTCTGCAATAAAGGAAGGGGATGAGGTTGCAGGATACTGGGTGAACATCTGTATGGGGATAAGATTTATCAGGGCTACAACTCTCATATCTAGTGATACTGGGTAAACATCTGTATGGGGATAAGATTTATCAGGGCTACAACTCTCATATCTAGTGATACTGGGTGAACATCTGTATGGGAATACAATTTTATCAGGGCTACGACTCTCAGATCTAGTGATACTGGGTGAACATCTGTATGGGGAAACAATTTTATCAGGGCTACGACTCTCATATCTAGTGATACTGGGTGAACATCTGTATGGGGAAACAATTTTATCAGGGCTACAACTCTCATATCTAGTGATACTGGGTGAACATCTGTATGGGGATACAATTTTATCAGGGCTACGACTCTCATATCTAGTGATACTGGGTGAACATCTGTATGGGGATACAATTTTATCAGGGCTACGACTCTCATATCTAGTGATACTGGGTGAACATCTGTAGGGGGAAACAATTTTATCAAGGCTACGACTCTCAGATCTAGTGATACTGGGTGAACATCTGTATGGGGATACAATTTTATCAGGGCGACGCCTCTCATATCTAGTGACCATGGGTGAACATCTGTATGGGGTGAACATCTGTATGGGTATACAATTTTATCAGGGCTACAACTCTCAGATCTAGTGATACTGGGATACAATTTTATCAAGGCGACGACTCTCATATCTAGTGACCATGGGTGAACATCTGTATGTGGATACAATTTTATCAGGGCTACAACTCTCAGATCTAGTGATACTGGGTGAACATCTGTATGGGTATACAATTTTATCAGGGCTACAACTCTCAGATCTAGTGATACTGGGTGAACATCTGTATGGGGATACAATTTATCAAGGCTACAACTCCCAGATCTAGTGATGCTGGGTGAACATCTGTATGGGGATACAATTTTATCAGGGCTACGACTCTCATCTGGTGATACTGGGTGAACATCTGTATGTGAATAAGATTTATCAGGGCGACGACTCTTATATCAAGTGATACTGGGTCAACATCTGTATGGGGATACAATTTTATCAAGGCTACAACTCTCAGATCTAGTGATACTAGGTGAACATCTGTATGGGAATAAGATTTATCAGGGCGACGACTCTTATATCTAGTGATACTGGGTGAACATCTGTATGGGGATACAATTTTATCAGGGCGACGACTCTCATATCTAGTGATGCATCCATTTTAATGAAGCTTTGAACATATCTTACCCATCAAGTAAAACTACAGCTAGACTTCAATGTTTCAAACTTTTCGTGACCATCAGGAAAATTTCAAAGCATCGAGACTTCGACTTGGGAATGTTGAATTTCAAGCATCTTTGCGATCCTGTATAAACTGCATAAGACTGAATGTGATTGTCAGCCAAATTTTATTAAAGTGTAACTGCTGTCTCATTTCAACCCTTCTTAGGAAATACAGGCCTTTAATTTAATTATCCATCCGTCGACACAATTCTGTCCATGCTATATATGCTCTTCTAAAATATTATGAAAAATTCCACACATTTTACATAGCCCATAAGGCTTTGCATTTGTTCAATGGACTTTAGGAGAATTATACCGTTTGATTTTCTCAGTGATAGCCTACCAGACTGTTGTCCCTTTTACTACCTCTGGTAGGACTGATGAGTGGATGTGTACCAGCAACGTTGTTTTATCTCCTTTCTATAGAGTTATGGCCCTTTGTCTGTTACTACCTCTGGTAAGACTGATGAGTGGATGTGTACCAGCAATATTGTTCAATCTCCTTTCTATAGAGTTATGGCCTATTGTTTAATCTCCTTTCTTAGAGTTATGGCCCTTTGTAGTGGTTGTGTTCCAGCAATATTGTTTAATCTCCTTTCTTAGAGTTATGGCCCTTTGTAGTGGTTGTGTTCCAGCAATATTGTTTAATCTCCTTTCTATAGAGTTATGGCCCTTTGTCCCTTACTTCCTCTGGTAAGACTGATGAGTGGATGTGTACCAGCAATGTTGTTCAATCTCCTTTCTAAAGAGTTATGGCCCTTTGTCCCTTACTACTTCTGGTAAGACTGATGAGTGGATGTGTACCAGCAATATTGTTTAATCTCCTTTCTTAGAGTTATGGCCCTTTGTAGTGGTTGTGTACCAGCAATATTGTTTAATCTCCTTTCTATAGAGTTATGGCCCTTTGTAGTGGTTGTGTTCCAGCAATATTGTTTAATCTCCTTTCTATAGAGTTATGGCCCTTTGTAGTGGATCTGTACCAGCAATATTGTTCAATCTCCTTTCTATAGAGTTATGTCCCTTTGTCTGTTACTACCTCTGGTAAGACTGATGAGTGGATGTGTACCAGCAATGTTGTTTATCTCCTTTCTATAGAGTTACGGCCCTTTGTCCCTCACTACCTCTGGTAAGACTGATGAGTGGATGTGTACCAGCAATGTTGTTTTATCTCCTTTCTATAGAGTTATGGCCCTTTGTAGTGGTTGTGTACCAGCAATTTTGTTTAATCTCCTTTCTATAGAGTTATGGCCCTTTGTCTCTTACTACCTCTGGTAAGACTGATGAGTGGATGTGTACCTGCAATGTTGTTTTATCTCCTTTCTATAGAGTTATGGCCCTTTCTAGTGGTTGTGTACCAGCAATTTTGTTTAATCTCCTTTCTATAGAGTTATGCCCTTTGTCTCTTACTACCTCTGGTAAGACTGATGAGTGGATGTGTACCTGCAATGTTGTTTTATCTCCTTTCTATAGAGTTATGGCCCTTTGTCCCTTACTACCTCTGGTAAGACTGATGAGTGGATGTGTACCAGCAATGTTGTTCAATCTCCTTTCTATAGAGTTATGTCCCTTTGTCTGTTACTTCCTCTGGTCTGGTAAGACTGATGAGTGGATGTGTACCAGCAATGTTGTTCGATCTCCTTTCTATAGAGTTATGTCCCTTTGTCTGTTTCTTCCTCTGGTCTGGTAAGACTGATGAGGGGATGTGTACCAGCAATGTTGTTCAATCTCCTTTCTATAGAGTTATGGCCCTTTGTCTGTTAGACTGTTACTACCTCTGGTAAGACTGATGAGTGGAATGGTACCAGCAATGTTGTTTAATCGCCTTTCTATAGAGTTATGGCCCTTTGTCTGTTAGACTGTTACTACCTCTGGTAAGACTGATGAGTGGATGTGTACCAGCAATGTTGTTTTATCTCTTTTCTATAGAGTTAACGCCCTTTGTAGTGGATGTGTACCAGCAATGTTGTTCAATCTCCTTTCTATAGAGTTATGGCCCTTTGTCTCTTACTACCTCTGGTAAGACTGATGAGTGGATGTGTACCAGCAATGTTGCTCAATCTCCTTTCTAAAGAGTTATGGCCCTTTGTCCCTAACTACTTCTGGTAAGACTTATGAGTGGATGTGTACCAGCAATATTGTTTAATCTCCTTTCTATAGAGTTATGGCCCTTTGTAGTAATTGTGTACCAGCAATATTGTTTAATCTCCTTTCTATAGAGTTATGGCCCTTTGTAGTGGATGTGTACCAGCAATATTGTTCAATCTCCTTTCTATAGAGTTATGGCTCTCTGTAGTGGATGTGTACCAGCAATGTTGTTCAATCTCCTTTCTATAGAGTTATGGCCCTTTGTCCCTTACTACTTCTGGTAAGACTGATGAGTGGATGTGTACCAGCAATATTGTTTAATCTCCTTTCTATAGAGTTATGGCCCTTTGTAGTGGTTGTGTACCAGCAATATTGATTAATCTCCTTTCTATAGAGTTATGGCCCTTTGTAGTGGATGTGTACCAGCAATATTGTTCAATCTCCTTTCTATAGAGTTATGGCCCTTTGTCCCTTACTACCTCTGGTAAGACTGATGAGTGGATGTGTACCAGCAATGTTGTTTTATCTCCTTTCTATAGAGTTATGGCCCTTTGTAGTGGATGTGTACCAGCAATGTTGTTCAATCTCCTTTTTATAGAGTTATGTCCCTTTGTCTGTTACTACCTCTGGTAAGACTGATGAGTGGATGTGTACCAGCAATGTTATTTTATCTCTTTTCTATAGAGTTATGGCCCTTTGTAGTGGATGTGTACCAGCAATGTTGTTTAATCTCCTTTCTATAGAGTTATGGCCCTTTGTATTCAATTAAATTTTCCATTTGTGTAATTTATGTTCATGTGGTTCTAATAAGCATCCAATAATTAATACTTTATATCTTTGTTTCAGAAATGAAACTATGGAGACAAATATTTGCCAGAACCTAGTGATAGGAGATGAATCTACGGTATGTATATAAGGGGTCGGTGATGGAGGTGTTACCATGGTAACTAGCACTTGGTAATCATAGAATGTTTCACCATCGCAAAACACTCATGTACTTTTAGCTTCGTAAAAAAACAACTGAATCATTATTAAAAAAAATACTCAAGGCAAGCACAGTCTGACTCATTGTTTAAGGAACAATGAAGAGAAAACACAATCTTAATTAATGAAAATACATTTAGGGGACCATCTATTTTATAATAAATTTTGTGTACTGAAATTTCTTCCCTGAAACTAAATATTGACCTCTTATTTTGCACTTATTTATTTATTTTTTATCTTATCCCTAGTATATCAACGTAAACTTTTTCAGTTACACGTCATCCATAAATTAAAATACAAAATGTATGACAATATTAAAACAATATATCCTAGTTGTTTGTTTGTAGTGGGGCTACGTACATTTGAGATAAACCGTGTTTTCTATGACCTCATTCTGTTGACAGGTGACGTTTGATGTCATTATTGAGGCGACCTCCTGTCCTGCCGACGAGACCAAGTTCTCCAAGACGTTTTCTATCAAACCTGTTGGTCTTCCTGACAAGCTTGAAGTCCACGTGGATCTTATCTGTCAGTGTGACTGTGAGAAACCCGAGTTTGCTGTGAGTATACTTCCTCGTCACAAGGCCCGGTAGACAGATAAAGAAGGTTATAACAAATACAAGGGAACCAGCGTAGTCCGTTCATCATGAGAGTAGTTTTTAACACACGAATAATATTATAGTTCCGTTTCTATTGTATTGTGGTTCCAATGTTTCTGGTGAAACCATTTTGATGATAGGCATGTTTCATTCAGACTGAGAGACTTGCTCAACTCACTTCTGCATACTTACCTGTATGCAAACATGAATTGTTTTCAGAAATTGATCATTATACAAATAAAAAATGTTGCTCCCTTAGGGAGCACTTCGTTAATAAACCTCTCCATAGTTGCATGAGCAGCTATAAAAATACACTGATGTATGAGATCTAGTGGCGAGACAATGGCCGCGTTCATTTATCGCGATCCAAATGGTTGAACTGGTTGGACCAGAATTGTTCGTTTATGAAATAAGGTTGGACCTAGTAATCTGAGGGTGCTCTCAGGGGAGCATGACACAGTCTTGCAAGGCCTCCATAAACATTTGCAGGTCCACCAGAATTTATACCCGAAAATGTTACTTTAAAAAAACCCGGACGTACCGGTTGTTAAGCATAAACGAACAGGCCCTAAGAGAAATAACACTTACATACCGAGCATACACCTTGTAGTTTGTTTGTAGTGTGACTTGGATATCATGCTGATATGCTGGGTGTAGCAGAGTATACTATGATACATGTACAAGGTGTTGACTGAGTATAACACACCTGTCAGAGTATAACACACTGGAGTATTACACACCTGTCAGAGAATAACACACCTGTCAGAGTATAACACACTGTAGTATAACACACCTGTCAGAGTATAACACACTGTAGTATAACACACCTGTCAGAGTACAACACACTGTAGTATAACACACCTGTCAGAGTATAACACACTGTAGTATAACACATCTGTCAGAGTATAACACACCTGTCAGAGTATAACACACCTGTCAGAGTATAACACACCTGTCAGAGTATAACACACCTGTCAGAGTATAACACACCTTATTATATCACACCTTATAACACACTGTAGTATATCACACCTTATAACACACTGTAGTATATCACACCTTATAACACACTGTAGTATAACACACCATAGTATTGCACACGTTAGTATAGCACACCTTATAACACACCTTAGTTTAGTTTAAATTAAGACAAAGTTTTACATTTCAGGACAAGAATCAGAACAGCGATAAGTGTAGTGGGAAGGGCACACACATGTGTGGTATGTGTGTATGTAACCAAGGATTCTACGGCCGTACCTGTAACTGTGATGCTGGTAACGCTACGTCTGAAGAGATCCAGTCACAGTGTATGAAGTAAGTGTCGTAATCCCCCACTCACTTCGAGTAACACTGTATGAAGTAAGTGTCGTAATCCCCTACTCACTTCCAGTCACAGTGTATGAAGTAAGTGTCGTAATCCCCCACTCACTTCCAGTCACAGTGTATGAAGTAAGTGTCGTAATCCCCTACTCACTTCCAGTCACAGTCTATGAAGTAAGTGTCGTAATCCCACAATCACTTCCAGTCACAGTGTATAGAGTAAGTGTCGTAATCCCCCAATCACTTCCAGTCACAGTGTATAAATTAAGCGTCGTAATCACTCAATCACTTCCAGTCTCAGTGTATAAAGTAAGTATCGTAATCCCCCAATCATTTCCAGCCACAGGGTATAAATTAAGTGTCGTAATCCCCCAATCACTTCCTGTCACAGTGTATAAAGTAAGTGTCGCAATCCCCCAATCACTTCCAGTCACAGTGTATAGAGTAAGTGTCGTAATCCCCCAATCGCTTCCAGTCACAGTGTATAAAGTAAGTATCGTAATCACTCAATCACTTCCTGTCACAGTTTATAAAGTAAGTATCGTAATCACTCAATCACTTCCAGTCACAGTGTATAAAGTAAGTATCGTAATCACTCAATCACTTCCTGTCACAGTTTATAAAGTAAGTATCGTAATCACTCAATCACTTCCAGTCACAGTGTATAAAGTAAGTGTCGTAATCCCCCAATCACTTCCAGTCACAGTGTATAAAGTAAGTGTCGTAATCCCCCAATCACTTCCAGTCACAGTGTATAAAGTAAGTGTCGTAATCCCCCAATCACTTCCAGTCACAGTGTATAAAGTAAGTGTCGTAATCCCCCAATCACTTCCAGTCACAGTGTATAAAGTAAGTGTCGTAATCCCCCAATCACTTCCAGTCACAGTGTATAAAGTAAGTGTCGTAATCCCCCAATCACTTCCAGTCACAGTGTATAAAGTAAGTGTCGTAATCCCCCAATCACTTCCAGTCACAGTGTATAAAGTAAGTGTCGTAATCCCCCAATCACTTCCAGTCACAGTGTATAAAGTAAGTGTCGTAATCCCCCAATCACTTCCAGTCACAGTGTATAAAGTAAGTGTCGTAATCCCCCAATCACTTCCAGTCACAGTGTATAAAGTAAGTGTCGTAATCCCCCAATCACTTCCAGTCACAGTGTATAAAGTAAGTGTCGTAATCCCCCAATCACTTCCAGTCACAGTGTATAAAGTAAGTGTCGTAATCCCCCAATCACTTCCAGTCACAGTGTATAAAGTAAGTGTCGTAATCCCCCAATCACTTCCAGTCACAGTGTATAAAGTAAGTGTCGTAATCCCCCAATCACTTCCAGTCACAGTGTATAAAGTAAGTGTCGTAATCCCCCAATCACTTCCAGTCACAGTGTATAAAGTAAGTGTCGTAATCCCCCAATCACTTCCAGTCACAGTGTATAAAGTAAGTGTCGTAATCCCCCAATCACTTCCAGTCACAGTGTATAAAGTAAGTGTCGTAATCCCCCAATCACTTCCAGTCACAGTGTATAAAGTAAGTGTCGTAATCCCCCAATCACTTCCAGTCACAGTGTATAAAGTAAGTGTCGTAATCCCCCAATCACTTCCAGTCACAGTGTATAAAGTAAGTGTCGTAATCCCCCAATCACTTCCAGTCACAGTGTATAAAGTAAGTGTCGTAATCCCCCAATCACTTCCAGTCACAGTGTATAAAGTAAGTGTCGTAATCCCCCAATCACTTCCAGTCACAGTGTATAAAGTAAGTGTCGTAATCCCCCAATCACTTCCAGTCACAGTGTATAAAGTAAGTGTCGTAATCCCCCAATCACTTCCAGTCACAGTGTATAAAGTAAGTGTCGTAATCCCCCAATCACTTCCAGTCACAGTGTATAAAGTAAGTGTCGTAATCCCCCAATCACTTCCAGTCACAGTGTATAAAGTAAGTGTCGTAATCCCCCAATCACTTCCAGTCACAGTGTATAAAGTAAGTGTCGTAATCCCCCAATCACTTCCAGTCACAGTGTATAAAGTAAGTGTCGTAATCCCCCAATCACTTCCAGTCACAGTGTATAAAGTAAGTGTCGTAATCCCCCAATCACTTCCAGTCACAGTGTATAAAGTAAGTGTCGTAATCCCCCAATCACTTCCAGTCACAGTGTATAAAGTAAGTGTCGTAATCCCCCAATCACTTCCAGTCACAGTGTATAAAGTAAGTGTCGTAATCCCCCAATCACTTCCAGTCACAGTGTATAAAGTAAGTGTCGTAATCCCCCAATCACTTCCAGTCACAGTGTATAAAGTAAGTGTCGTAATCCCCCAATCACTTCCAGTCACAGTGTATAAAGTAAGTGTCGTAATCCCCCAATCACTTCCAGTCACAGTGTATAAAGTAAGTGTCGTAATCCCCCAATCACTTCCAGTCACAGTGTATAAAGTAAGTGTCGTAATCCCCCAATCACTTCCAGTCACAGTGTATAAAGTAAGTGTCGTAATCCCCCAATCACTTCCAGTCACAGTGTATAAAGTAAGTGTCGTAATCCCCCAATCACTTCCAGTCACAGTGTATAAAGTAAGTGTCGTAATCCCCCAATCACTTCCAGTCACAGTGTATAAAGTAAGTGTCGTAATCCCCCAATCACTTCCAGTCACAGTGTATAAAGTAAGTGTCGTAATCCCCCAATCACTTCCAGTCACAGTGTATAAAGTAAGTGTCGTAATCCCCCAATCACTTCCAGTCACAGTGTATAAAGTAAGTGTCGTAATCCCCCAATCACTTCCAGTCACAGTGTATAAAGTAAGTGTCGTAATCCCCCAATCACTTCCAGTCACAGTGTATAAAGTAAGTGTCGTAATCCCCCAATCACTTCCAGTCACAGTGTATAAAGTAAGTGTCGTAATCCCCCAATCACTTCCAGTCACAGTGTATAAAGTAAGTATCGTAATCCCCCAATCACTTCCAGTCACAGTGTATAAAGTAAGTGTCGTAATCACTCAATCATTTCCTGTCACAGTGTATGAAAACAAGGATGTGGTTAGTTAGAATAGGTTTGTTTTCAAGAGGATTTTTTTATGCCTAAATATGTCTGTGTAACATTCTTAAAAAGTTGAATTTCCCCTGTTAGTGTACACGTACATATCTCTTTCCCATAAAAACAACACTATGTCTAGTGATACATTGTCCGCAGTGACTTAGTTTTCTCTTGTCAGTATAAGTTCGAGTTATCCTGTTTCGTAAAAAAAGTAGCACTAGTTCTGTGTGCTGTGACAGAATTGTCCCTCCCAGTATTCTAAATCTGTAGTTTTTTCCTCACAGAAACAACACGAACCTTGTGTGCAGTAATCGTGGCGAGTGTGTGTGTGGTAAGTGTGAGTGTTCGGCCCGTAGTCAGAACTCGGCCCAGAAGTACAGCGGTGAACATTGTGAGTGTGACGACTACTCCTGCCCCTACTCCGGAGGAAACCTTTGTGGAGGTAGGTAACCCTGTCAGCATTTACATGTCGGACTTTAATTAGATCGGTCTATATATAGATAGTCTTTAAACCGTCTGATGAATTGGTTCTGTATCGCTGAAGAGACCAGTGATAAGTTGTATGAGGCCAAGTGTCTGATGAAAATCGATAATTTAAGAAGGTGCTTCATTTCTAAGGAAATATGGGTTAAAAAAATAATGTAAACGACTTCTGTTTACAATTCAATGCGATAGACACTTTGTAACTACTGTATTTTGATAGAGCTGTGTTTATAGTCACGGCTTTAGATTTCGCTTGACCTGGTTCTATATTTGACTTGCAGGCTCTGACAAGGGCACATGTAAATGCGGTAACTGTGGGTGTAATGAAGACTGGTCAGGTCCCGACTGTTCTTGCTCGAAAGCCAACGACTCGTGTATAACTACCAACGGAGACGTAGGTCCTATTACATGTCAATTGACTGTGCAAATTTGGTCAATTCATAAACTTTACATGTCAATTCAAAGTTCAAACTTAATATCTCAATTCACAATTCATACTTTATATGTCAATTCACAATTCAAACTTTAAATGTCAATTCATACTTTATATGTCAATTCACAATTCATACTTTATATGTCAATTCATACTTTATATGTCAATTCATACTTTATATGTCAATTCACAATTCATACTTTACATGTCAATTCATACTTTATATGTCAATTCACAATTCATACTTTATATGTCAATTCACAGTTGAAACTTGCATGTTTATGTATAATTCAAACTTAATGTGTCTAGTTACAGTTCAGATTTTATATATGACTATTATTCAAACTGTGAATGCATATGTCACTATGAAAAGTTTAAGGAGTTTCCACCCTTCGTAATACACATGTTTTTAGGTCACCTGAGCTTTAGCTCAAGTGACCTATTGCTATCCGTTTTCGTCCGTCGTCGTCCGTCGTCCGTCGTCCGTCGTCCGTTAACATTTTACATTTCAAACTTAAAGTCAAGTTCTGCTGGGCCGATTGAACTGAAAGTTGATAGGAATGATCGCCTCATGGTCCTGACAAAGTGTTGTTATTTTTCGGGTCGATCAGAAATCCAATATGGCCGCCACGGCCGCCATTTTGAAAACCTATTTCAAACTTAAAGTCAAGTTCTGCTGGACCGATTGAACTGAAAGTTGGTAGGAATGATCGCCTCATGGTCCTGACAAAGTGTTGTTATTTTTCGGGTCGATCAGAAATCCAATATGGCCGCCACGGCCGCCATTTTGAAAACCTATTTCAAACTTAAAGTCAAGTTCTGCTGGACCGATTGAACTGAAAGTTGGTAGGAATGATCGCCTCATGGTCCTGACAAAGTGTTGTTATTTTTCGGGTCGATCAGAAATCCAATATGGCCACCACGGCTGCCATTTTGGAAAACTATTTCAAACTTAAAGTAAAGATCTACTTGGCCGATTGAACTGAAACTTTGTAGGAATGATCGAATCATGGTCCTGACAAAGTGTTGTTATTTTTCGGGTCAATCAGAAATACAATTTGGCTGCCATGGCCGCTATTTTGCTACTAAGTTCTAATAGGCCGATCTCACTTAAAATTGGTCTAGGAATGATCAGCTCATGGTCCTGACAAAGTTAAGTTAACATTATACTATTTTTTACTCAAATTGGTACATATTTCAACAACAAAAATAAATACTATAGACTCAGGTGACCGTTAAGGCCCATGGGCCTCTTGTTCTTTTCGTATTTTCGTGTCGTCATTTCCGTATTGTGTATCGGGCATTCCATTACCGTGGTGTAAATTATAGTAACACCGGGTAAACAATAGTACACGTGCGTGACGATGATATGTCAACACCAGATATCGAGACTTAACTTGGAAATGTGTAATATGATACAAAGACATTAATTAACTCACGGGCAAACATTGACATATATGATCAGACAACTTCCAAGAAGGTCGTATATGAGGCGCATGGAATGCAGACTGATGTGTTTTGTTTACCGACCTCACCTGTACGTATCACATGCTAACAGTAGTTCACAAGCTCTTGGTCGCTACGACTTTTGTTGTCGAGCGAGTTACGCTCTGTCAGATAAATCGGTTCACAAATGCAATTACAATAACTCTGTTAAAAAGTGGTTTGTAAAATATCAAGATCCCTATAAAATGCAAGTGCATGTGCGTGCACGTAATAATGGCATACCATGTGATAGCCTATGGTTACATATGTACCTGACATGTTAATATACCATGCGTAAGCAGGCTATGGAATGATGTCCAAAGTGTACATGATTGAGAGTAATTTTGTTCCATAAAAGAACAGTAAATTGACAATTAAATCTTGTAATTTAAATTACTTCCGTCGTTTTTTGGTATGGTAAGGAAAATAAGTGTCATTGTATAAATTCTATCCCTCTGCAAAAAGTTCCGTTTTTTTTCAAGGTAGACAACTCTCATCAGGATCAAAATTATTGTAAAATGTAAAATAAATTAATTATAAAGACTTTGTGTGCATTTGGTTCAATTTTTCAGTCTTTTTGTATGAAACTATGTGTCCTGTTTACTTTTAGCTTGTATTTAGTAACTGTTATCCATACAATTTCAATAAAAAACACTTTTTGTAACATGTTGTAGATATTTTATGATAAATAACATATTTGTAGGGTTGATTAGCAATGTTTCTTTTCATTATTTTATTGTTGTTATAGTTTTGAACAATGCCAGACGCTCAAAAAATGTAAAAGTGTTGAATTTGACAAAAATTCAATATTTCGGTATTTTTTACCAAAAAATCCCCAGTTTATCGGAATGCTTAGATTTTCATAAAACCATCTCTACATAGTGACATAACCATTATGTGAAACTTTCATTGAATTATGCTGGCTAATTGCGAAAGGGTGGAGCCTCCTTAAATGTCAATTCACCATTCAATCTTTATATGCGAATCCAAAATCACACGTTACCTCACAGCTCACATCAGTTTGTATGATTAATGATGTTTTGCAGACATCCAGTATATGTAATGGTCAAGGAACGTGTCAGTGCAACAAGTGTGTTTGTGATCCAACGTCGGCCTTCAGGGGACCCAAGTGTTTGGACTGTAAGGTAAGTGTGAGTCCCAATGTCGGCCTTCAGGGGACCCAAGTGTTTGGACTGGAAGTAAGGTAAGTGTGAGTCCCAACGTCGGCCATCAGGGGACCAAAGTGTTTGGACTGGAAGTAAGGTAAGTGTGAGTCCCAACGTCGGCCATCAGGGTACCAAAGTGTTTGGACTGGAAGGTAAGTGTGAGTCCCAACGCCGGCCTTCAGGTGACCAAAGTGTTTGGAATGGAAGTAAGGTAAGTGTTAGACCCAACGTCGGCCTTCAGGGGACCCAAGGGTTTGGACTGTAAGGTAAGTGTAGTCCCAACGTCGGCCTTCAGGGGACCCAAGTGTTTGGACTGTAAGGTAAGTGTGAGTCCCAACGCCGGCCTTCAGGGGACCAAAGTGTTTGGAATGGAAGTAAGGTAAGTGTTAGACCCAACGTCGGCCTTCAGGGGACCCAAGTGTTTGGACTGTAAGGTAAGTGTGAGTCCCAATGCTGGCCTTCAGGGGACCCAAGTGTTTGGACTGTAAGGTAAGTGTGAGTCCCAACGCCAGCCATCAGGGGACCCAAGTGTTTGGACTGTAAGTAAGGTAAGTGTGTTTGTGATCCAACGTCGGCCTTCAGGGGACCCAAGTGTTTGGTCTGTAAGGTAAGTGTGAGTCCCAACGCCAGCCTTCAGGGGACCCAAGCGTTTGGACTGTAAGTAAGGTAAGTGTGTGTGTGATCCAACGTCGGCCTTCAGGGGACCCAAGTGTTTGGACTGTAAGGAAAGTGTGAGTCCCAACGCCAGCCATCAGGGGACCCAAGTGTTTGGTCTGTAAGGTAAGTGTGAGTCCCAACGCTGGCCTTCAGGGGACCCAAGTGTTTGGAATGTAAGGTAAGTGTGAGTCCCAACGCCAGCCATCAGGGGACCCAAGTGTTTGGTCTGTAAGGTAAGTGTGAGTCCCAACGCCAGCCATCAGGGGACCCAAGTGTTTGGTCTGTAAGGTAAGTGTGAGTCCCAACGCCGGCCTTCGGGGGACCCAAGTGTATGGACTGTAACTTAGGTAAGTGAGCGTCCCAACGCCGGCCTTCAGGGGACCCAAGGGTTTGAACTGTAAGGTAAGTGTGAGTCCCAACGTCGGCCTTCAGGGGACCCAAGTGTTTGGTCTGTAAGGTAAGTGTGAGTCCCAACGCTGGCCTTCAGGGGACCCAAGTGTTTGGATTGTAAGGTAAGTGTGAGTCCCAACGCCAGCCATCAGGGGACCCAAGGGTTTGGACTGTAAGTAAGGTAAGTGTGAGTCCCAACGCCGGCCTTCAGGGGACCCAAGTGTACGAACTGAAATGTAAGTGTTTGACCAGACATTTGGATTTGGGGAGGGGGATTCAAGTTATTGTTTGTCTGGTGTTTATAGAGAATATTTGAGCATGTTAAATACACAAACAGTACTATGTACTGTATAATTAAGTAAGATATTACTTGGAAATCTATTCAACATCACAGGACTATAAGTCCGTCCTACAGATCTTTCAAACCTAATCATCTTGAATGTGTTTTTCATTAAAAAATGCAATCTCTCAAAATGTTGCATGGGACAGTGTAAAGGGAGACGATTCATGCATTTTGTGTTGACTTTGTTGTAGACGTGTCAGGAGGTTTGTCAGAAGAACAAGGCTTGTGTTCAGTGTGTCGTCCACGAGACAGGACTCAAGAGTCAGACCGAATGTGACAGAGATTGTCGCAAACCTGGCTTCATCACCAAAGTCCCCGAACTTGATGGTATGCCTGGTCGTTTACTGGAATGAAATTTATTTTCACTCGGTTACTAAGTATACATGTACATCATGTCAGTTTACTCAGATGTATGAGAACTGACCTATCATTGTTCAGTTTTATTTTGTTACCTAAAATTGCAAAAATAAAAAAATAAAATACTGCTCGGGTCGAAGGAATGTCACATATTGGGTCTAGTGCCCTACTTTGTAAAAAAAAGTCAGGCAATTATATATTGCAACTCTGCTTCTATATACACTGTTGCAGCGATATACTATTCCTTTTGCCAAGTAAATGTATATGATTGGTTTTGTGTTGACAGGTGAAAAGAACAGCTGTGAGTTTAAGGATGAAGACGACTGCATCTTCTTTTTCTCTTACGACTACGGACCAAACAACGAGCTCAAGATCAAAGCACAGGAAACAAAAGGTAAGATAGGTCGCCTCAATCGAAATCGATACACAGTCATAGTGGTTTAACCCATTACCCCTGAAATTTCATAAAGAACTATTCCAACCTTTGTATTGGACGAGTTAAATGTGTCTTCAGGGGTGAATGAGTTAATGATTAATTAACAATATACCGGTAGTAAAGTATTGGTCTTACTAGATCTACACTCTGACTACATACTTCATAACTCTCCCAAACTTCCATGGTGTCTCACGGATATTTCTGTTGGGGTAAATATACTGATTTCTCCCGCTTTTTAGCAATTTCTGAAATACGTGATTCCCACACAGGCCCCCAGTGTAGCACTAACATTTGGCCATTTCCTAGCACTTCTAGCACTGGCAGTGTGGCCCGGGCTGAATTAGGTACACAAAGGTTTCTTATTTTAATACTTCAAGAAACATATATCAAAGTACTGTTTACATGATATATATACTGTTATGTTTTGTAAGGAGAGGGCTGTTATAGGCTATGCCTGTTGCCCAATTCTTTTTGTACAAAAGATCAGTACAATAAAATATTCTGAAATGAAATGAAAATGAGGTTTGAAGATTCCGCCAATTAGCTTTGTCATGTGACTGGGGGAATCGAGGCATTTGTTTATTCCTGTCTAAATGGATTGAGAAAGAGTTTATGTACGTCACACTGCAACAAATATAGAGATTTTGGAAATGTTGTTCATACACTTTCCTTCCAATTTGAGTTCCAGAATGTTGATACGTGTGTTACAGGTGCTATAGTTAAGGTTTAGACTAAATTGTTATACCTCTTCGTTACAGAATGCCCTAAACAGGTGAATGTGTTGGCCATCGTGTTGGGAGTAATCGGAGGAATCGTGGCCGTGGGTCTGGCTATCTTGCTTGTATGGAAACTTGTTACCACAATCAGTGACAAGAGGGAACTTGCAAGATTTGAGAAAGAGACGCAGGACGCCAAATGGGACACTGTAAGTAATGACGTCTTAATAGCTCTCCATCCCCTACTTCAATAAAACACTTCTTAACGCTCCTGGCCATAGGAGAAAACTTAACGATACAATAACACCTGTCCTAACTAAAATCAAGGGACGGAATTGTTTGATCAGAAAAATCAAATTGCTGTGTATCTTGGACCCTAGGTAACTAGTGGAGATATTTTGTCTCTTGGGAAAGGTTAAATGTTTGCTGCCCAAAAATAACTCTTTGCCAGCAGAGAATATACCCGTTTTCTGGTAATAGTATAATTACCAAACAAATTCTGAGGCGTTGGGATATTAATTCCGACATTTAAGTCATATTTTTATGGAATTAATATATAACTCTTTAGCAGTACATTTGTGTCATATTTCCTTTATCAACGATCCCTGGTATATACTTTGCAGACAGTATTGATATTCTTTAAAAATTATCAAAAATATATAGAATTGAACTAACAACAAAATGAATAGTTCCGATTTATAAAATACTGCTATTTTTTTTGTGACACATTCGTGCTTTGATTTAACTTGGAGCAAATGAATAGTTCTGATCTGTAAAATACTGCTAGTTTTTTTGTGACACATTCGTGCTTTGATTTAACTTATTCTGTTTTATTTTCAGGGTGAGAACCCCATCTACAGACAGGCCACTTCCACATTCAAGAACCCAACCTATGCAGGAAAGTAGAGCCAGTGTCTACCTGATTCAGATAGTTCTACAAATTTCCAAGATATTAACTGTCAATTCCATACAATTCATACCACAAGAAGTAGCAAGAGAACAAGACAAGAATGAGTATGGAAGGGAGATAATCGGAGTATAAACGGGAGAGAACAAACATGAGTGTGTAAGGGAGATAATATGGTAAGATGAGTATAAAAGGGAGGTAATAACATTGAGTATGTAAGGGAGGTAATAGGACACGCCGAGCGTGTGAGGGAGATAACTAGATCTTCTAGCGGGAGGGAGAAAAGCAATTGTCACAAGAAACAATTCCCATATAAAGTTGTTTTCACCAAAATGTGAATACCTGTTTTTTTGGGGTAAAGTAAAAAAAAAGGTTACATGACATGTAGAAAGGTTGTTCACAAATCTTATATTGGAATCTTTTATGCAATTAGCATTTGAATTAAGCCATTTTATTCAATGTTTTTTTATGTTTTTCTTTTTTATATCAAGTCAGTGACAATGATAGAGAGATGAAGATATAAACATTTTTTATTGGGGAAATGTGTGTTTTGAGATTTTGTTTTCGTGTTGTAACAATTAAAAACGGTTGAAAAGTCGAGTAACTTAGATAAAGAAATGATGTTTTTTCTTTTGTCTTTATGTTTGCCCTTTAATTGATGTACATCTGATCTATTATTTATCCAACTCTAAACCAAGCCACAGGCCTTTTAATGTCAAAGGTTGATTAAAATAGGTAGTTAAATAGATGTAGTGTTTAGTAAATAAATCATAAGCTAGAGTTTAGGGTAAATAATTAAAACATTTAGTAGGTCAGTTATCAAGGTTAAAGTAGGTAGAATTGTAGCATTTAGTTACTAAAGCAATAGTTAGGTCAAGGTTAAGTTAGGTAAATAGTAATAAGATAGTTAGGTCAAGGTCAAGTTAGATCAATAGTAATAAGATAGTTAGGTCAAGGTTAAGTTAGATAAATAGTTATAAGATTAGTTAGGTCAAGGTCAAGTTAGATCAATAGTATAAGTGAGTTCAAGGTTAACTTTATTACTAAGTAAAACTTCAGCTAGTTCTATGTAAGACAAGGGGTACACTACTGGAATTATTTCCAAAATCCCAATTAGGGCTTACACAGAGTTGAGAACTTCATATGAGCTGATGTAAGGACAGTGGTTCGCTAAGTTTTTTGCTTATCACTGGAAAGAATAGAAGCCTAGAATTAGCTAGTCAAGAAATGCTTGGGCGTGCTATTGAATAGCATCAGTAGATAAATATTTATAGGGCGAAATCCATGCAAAGGAAAATAATTCATAAAACAAGCTTTGTTTTATTTATCTTTAATAATATCAACATTTTCTGTCACCTATTTTTAAAACCTGCTGATAGATGTTGCTCATTGCTGGACAGTGCATCGTTTTACACGTCTGTAATCACGGATTTTATGCAATGATTTTTAAGATTGTTTGCTGTAAACAGGAAGTGCCATTATGTGTAATATAGATGTGTACAGATTGTTGTAAATTTAATGGAGGTCATCATTTTTAAATGCCTCAGCTAGGGATGAAACCCGGGACCATTCTCGGGGACATTGAAAAATAATGACCTCTGTTACGTAAAAATCACCAATTACCCTACAAACATTGATGCTGTCAAGTTGATATTTTCTGTTATGTATATAACCAGAATATTGAATTCAGGAGCTGGTTTGCAATCAATTTTGTATTTCAAATTTACATTTTCAATTGACGTTGACTCCGTGAAAATTGTATTTTTCACTAGCGTTCTTGCTTGATGATTTCGTAAATGTATTTTGTCAGAGACCACCAGCCAACTTCAATAGAATGGCTGATATTGTTGTTGAGTTTATATAAGAGGAGTTGAATGTGCATTTGGTTGCTTGCATGACCTGAGTAAAGGAGGGAGCCCCTATTAAATTGTATGTGTCTAGCTGTTCATTTGATTTACACAAGGCTCATTTCCCTCGGGCTTTGCAAGTACCCAGACAAAAACAATCAATCGCTAAGTTTGGATTAATTCATACACTAATTGTGATTTCAGACCATTTTTTGAAAATAATTTTGAATTCCTGGTGAAAATCATCAAAGTTGAAGACCACTGTACATAAAAGTTGTGTAAAAAAATAAAAGGAAAACTGTTGTAATTAGTTGTATATAGCAAGAATATAGTTTATTGATATCTGCATTAAATTTATATAAAAGCTTCATTTTAAGTTATAACTCGTGTATGTTCAGTTTCACAGATTCCATCATGCGGTAATTTTGAAGCTTTTTGACAGCTCAGGTTTTTTGCTCATTAGGACTAAAAGTATAAACAAGATTAGGAATTACAGTGTTTTAACACCGAGTTAAAAAGTAATTTACCTTTTGACAACAAACATTATAGCTGCTTTAAAATAAGCTTCGTATTAATTCAGTAATTGCATACAAATCATGTTTTTTAATGTTAATAAGGTATTTTCATTTAATTATTTGAAATAAAGGATGTAGTTTGATTTTGAAGATTGACATAACCGGTATTTTGTGTAATTTAGTAGATGGCAGAGTGAGCTGTGAGATGAGTTTAGGTTTTATACCCCGTATCTATTGTGTATGTTGTAAACGTTATATTTAAGTGTAATCAGCCAGTTACTACAAACATCTGGCTATAAGCCGAGTACTACCACTAGTTACAAACCACAATCAGACAAAGCATCCTTCTCGTTTTTGTACTTCTATATTTTATTTAATTCTGTACACGGGGAAATGTTTGTCACATTTTAACGTGCATCCTTTTCTAAAGGTTAACAAGGGAGGTATCGGAGATTGGGGTACCCTATGGTAGTTTACATATTATTTTATCAGACTTTGAATGTGCAGCGCAAACATTTCCCGGAGTGTAGTAATATAACAGCACCATTTGACTACAGTACTAACATCAAACAGACCATCATTAGAATAGTACCTGTTGTAAACACAGACTAGTTAAGGGGACCTAGTTGGTGACAAGATTTCTCCACCCCCCATGTAAGTGTTCAGTTGAATCTCAATATTCATTATTACTGGGAAAAGATTGTAAATATCAAATAGTTCTTTTCCTTAAGAATGCTTCCTTATTTCGACTTTCTAGGCGTTCCATGCTAAGAAACCTAGGACCTGTTTGTTTATGCAGACAGACCAGTTCGTCCACTTTCAAATGTAACATGAACCGTCGTGCTTATATAAATGTAGGTCTTGTAAGTGTTTACCTATGATTGCCAGAAAGTAAGATCAGATCATTAGGTCTATCCCTGTTTCACATGCAACAACTCTGGTCCAGGTGCTTGGAATGCAGAAAGATGATATTCAAATTTTTCAGTCATTTCATTATCAGGTTTAATCAATCTAATATGAATTGGAAACAAAGCTTTATAGCATAACTAAGAATATAAGCAAAATTGTTTTCTTGACTATCAATTTTTAAAACACTACTTATACATGTATGATAGGGTCATATTTGCAGTGTAACCTAGGTGTAAGGTGATAAAATACATCTGTTAAATGGTTCTAAGTGAAAGTTTGAACAATACTACATGTACCAGAATTAGTTTGTAAGGGAGATAACTCTAACACAAATTACTCTATAAAAGCATCATATGCCCTTAATGGAAAATAAAAAGTGGTTAGCTGTACTGTCACTATATCCCTTTGTCAAGCTGCTGTGTCCAGACGATGTTTTCATGTGTCCAGACGATGTTTTCATGTGTCCAGACGATGTTTTCATGTGTCCAGACGATGTTTTCATGTGTCCAGACGATGTTTTCATGTGTCCAGACGATGTTTTCATGTGTCCAGACGATGTTTTCATGTGTCCAGACGATGTTTTCATGTGTCCAGACGATGTTTTCATGTGTCCAGACGATGTTTTCATGTGTCCAGACGATGTTTTCATGTGTTAAATGTTGGAAGTGTATATGTATACATATATTTATACTGTTTTGTTTAAGAGTCGTAAAGCTGTATTCTCACTGCCGTCCTTGTATCGCATCATCATAACGCTTTGATAAGTACACCTTGTCACGCATTTCATTTGTAACAAACTTTATCAGCAGTTTAAGTTGGACATTTTTTTTTAACTTTATTTTAAATTTTCAACTAAATACTGTAATTGTGAATTAAATGTTTTAAAGCACCTTTTTAAAATTTGCATGCAATTTTTGATACATTATTTTTCTAATAGTATAACGTGTGTAAAAAAATCTTATTGGTCATAGTCTACATATTTCCTAAACACAATTTTTGAAAAGAATATATTTTGTCCTATTTTGAATGTAAATTTATTGGATATTTCTAAAATTGTTTTTTTTTCTTCTCTATAAAGTGTTATACTGGGCACTTTGTAAGCCAAAGAACCCTGTGAGGTGCTATATCTAAATGTAGACTAATTATAAGTAATTCTTTTAATTTTATCAATAGTCATTAATCATTTTATTTTATTAATTAGAAATATTGTATTATAAATATATTCTTTTGTCAACATAAGCATTTTCATACTTTGTTATGCCAAATAAATGTATAAATATAAAATATTGATTTTGTGATTTTTGTCTCGGTCCTGACCATTGGATGGGTAACCTATGATTTTTAGCTCACGTGGCTGGAACGGCTTATTAAGTGATCTTAGGCGATGTTACATCATCTGTCATCTGTTCATTCGGAGTTAACCTTTTTACCTCAAGGTCAAGGTAATGATATATGGCCAGAAACATGCTGGGATAGAATAACCTTGAGTTACTTTCAAGAACATCAAGGTCAAAACCTGTAAGAAATTTTGATGAAAAACCAAGTGATAGTGAACCATTCACAATGTTACTTTTTAGGTCACCTGAGCTTTGCTCAAGTGACCTATTCCAATCGCTTTTCGTCCGTCGTCGTCTGTCGTCCGTCGTCCGTCGTCCGTCGTGCGTAAACTTTTACATTTTCAACTTCTTCTTAAGAACCAGTGGATGGATTTTTTTCAAACTTGGTCAGAATCATCCTTGATAGATGAGGCTTCAAAATTGTAAAATTGGGATTCCTACCCCAACCCCTGGGGCTAGGGCGGGGCCCAAAAGGGAAAATTATCCAATATTTCAAAAATCTTCTTCTCCAGACTCAGAGGTACTACAGTGATTTTCTCTACGTGGAAAGAAAGATCATCAGGGGCTTTACTTAAATTGTAAATTTCAGGACCCCCGAGCTATCCGTTCTCCCTTGGGGAGGGGGTAAAGTTTACTATAGTTTATATAGGGAAATAACACTTTTGGGTATATTTTGACAACTTTCTGTAGGAAATTATTTTTACTTGGTGAGAATTATCCTTGGAGGTAGATGGTTTCAAATTGTAAAATTGAGATTCCTACCCCGACCCCTGGGGCCAGGGCGGGGCCCCAAAGGGAAAATTAATCAATATTTCAAAAATCTTCTTCTCCAGACTCAGAGGTACTACAGTGATTTTCTCTACGTGGAAAGAAAGATCATCAGGGGCTTTACTTAAATTGTAAATTTCAGGACCCCCGAGCTATCCGTTCTCCCTTGGGGAGGGGGTAAAGTTTACTATAGTTTATATAGGGAAATAACACTTTTGGGTATATTTTGACAACTTTCTGTAGGAAATTATTTTTACTTGGTGAGAATTATCCTTGGAGGTAGATGGTTTCAAATTGTAAAATTGAGATTCCTACCCCGACCCCTGGGGCCAGGGCGGGGCCCCAAAGGGAAAATTAATCAATATTTCAAAAATCTTCTTCTCCAGACTCAGAGGTACTACAGTGATTTTCTCTACGTGGAAAGAAAGATCATCAGGGGCTTTACTTAAATTGTAAATTTCAGGACCCCCGAGCTATCCGTTCTCCCTTGGGGAGGGGGTAAAGTTTACTATAGTTTATATAGGGAAATAACACTTTTGGGTATATTTTGACAACTTTCTGTAGGAAATTATTTTTACTTGGTGAGAATTATCCTTGGAGGTAGATGGTTTCAAATTGTAAAATTGAGATTCCTACCCCGACCCCTGGGGCCAGGGCGGGGCCCCAAAGGGAAAATTAATCAATATTTCAAAAATCTTCTTCTCCAGACTCAGAGGTACTACAGTGATTTTCTCTACGTGGAAAGAAAGATCATCAGGGGCTTTACTTAAATTGTAAATTTCAGGACCCCCGAGCTATCCGTTCTCCCTTGGGGAGGGGGTAAAGTTTACTATAGTTTATATAGGGAAATAACACTTTTGGGTATATTTTGACAACTTTCTGTAGGAAATTATTTTTACTTGGTGAGAATTATCCTTGGAGGTAGATGGTTTCAAATTGTAAAATTGAGATTCCTACCCCGACCCCTGGGGCCAGGGCGGGGCCCCAAAGGGAAAATTAATCAATATTTCAAAAATCTTCTTCTCCAGACTCAGAGGTACTACAGTGATTTTCTCTACGTGGAAAGAAAGATCATCAGGGGCTTTACTTAAATTGTAAATTTCAGGACCCCCGAGCTATCCGTTCTCCCTTGGGGAGGGGGTAAAGTTTACTATAGTTTATATAGGGAAATAACACTTTTGGGTATATTTTGACAACTTTCTGTAGGAAATTATTTTTACTTGGTGAGAATTATCCTTGGAGGTAGATGGTTTCAAATTGTAAAATTGAGATTCCTACCCCGACCCCTGGGGCCAGGGCGGGGCCCCAAAGGGAAAATTAATCAATATTTCAAAAATCTTCTTCTCCAGACTCAGAGGTACTACAGTGATTTTCTCTACGTGGAAAGAAAGATCATCAGGGGCTTTACTTAAATTGTAAATTTCAGGACCCCCGAGCTATCCGTTCTCCCTTGGGGAGGGGGTAAAGTTTACTATAGTTTATATAGGGAAATAACACTTTTGGGTATATTTTGACAACTTTCTGTAGGAAATTATTTTTACTTGGTGAGAATTATCCTTGGAGGTAGATGGTTTCAAATTGTAAAATTGAGATTCCTACCCCGACCCCTGGGGCCAGGGCGGGGCCCCAAAGGGAAAATTAATCAATATTTCAAAAATCTTCTTCTCCAGACTCAGAGGTACTACAGTGATTTTCTTTACGTGGAAAGAAAGATCATCAGGGGCTTTATTTAAATTGAAAATATCAGGACCCCGAGCTATCCG